CTGCTTTGGCGATACCTTATGCAATGCCTCTCGATCAGTTTGTACATGAGACCTTTACCCATACTCGTCTAAATCCCGATTTTGAGGAGCTTGGAATCTTATTTACCTTTTTATTTTCAAAGGCTGGCTATCTGGCTTTGCTTGAAAGCGTTAAAGGCAGCGTACACCCAAAACAAATGCAACAGATGTTGCAACAGCAACTGCAACTGCAACTGCAGCTTACGCTGTTATGGATTCGTCCGGAGGAGGCGGAGCGAAAGAAAAGGGGCGGCGTGAAAGAAAATTGAGGGGGGTTTTCTCCGCTCAGAAGCAACATTGGGAGACCGGACCAACGCAGTTGGTCTTCTTCTGGACCCAGTATATACACGATGTAGAAAGATCTAGGAAATTCGGTAACTCAAATTTTGGGTGTACGCTGCCTTTAAGCAAGTTTAATTTAATTCCCCTTGCCTACCTAGAAGTGGAAATTGTAGAAACATATACTTTTCCTTCATTTTCCTCCTTTCTCTCATAGTTGTGCCTTTTAGTGTGGCAGATGGAGAGGTCTGCCATACTGAAAGGCACAACTTTGGGAGAAAGGAGAGGTCACTCTGGTGACAGTTGTCACTCAAAGAGTTTCAGTGAGGGTAGTCTAGCCTTTTCGCCCGTTCAAATCTTGCCAGACTTGAAACTTAGGTCAAAGATTCAACCTTGCTCTGTTACCTTAACGGTATGTCCGCATCCGAAACGACTGTTGAAATCGCTCACAAACGGGCGATACGACAGTCGTTACACGAATCGCGCGGTACGTCGCGCCTTCGCAGTAAAATCTTCTCAAGTTCACTTGATTGGGTGACCAGCGCCATCACGAACGACACAATGCAATTTGCAGCGCCTCGCAAAGCTCCTTCCATTGCAGCCAGTGGTACTTGTCGTTTATTGCTGACTTAGGCTGTTTGCAACTTAGAACATCAGAATTTCGTTGACCTTTTCTCTTTTTCCTCTTTGAAAAGTATAAAAAGTTTGTCGGCAATTTTTGAAGGCACTCAAATCTGACGTTGGTGAGATTTTGGTGCAGTTACATAGTGAGGCTCATATCTAAGAAATTGCCCAAGTCGCGTTGCAAAAGGTGTAATCCGAAGCGAGAAAATCGTCCTAGAAGGTGGATGCTGCTGTGGGCGCCCCGCCAATCGACGTGGGTGGTCCGCTAAAAGTTCGAGTGCGGGCTCGGAACATTCCAGAATACATAAATGTCAATTGTTCTCAGTAGTGAAAGGCGGATTCTCAAATCTTTAGGTACCCCTCCATTTTATCCGGGCGCATTATCTTTACACCACTCATTACCGCCCACTATGATGGGCGTGGCGCCCCCAGCAGCATTCACCTTTTGGAGCGATTTTCTTGCTTCGAAATATATCTACGCAGCGAAATTTTGGGCGGTTACTATGTTAGGGACTTCGTTATGATAATGCATCAAAATCTCACCGATCTCAAAATTAAGTGATGCCTTCGAATGCAAAATACTCTTCTATCTAAATATCATTTTGTTTATATTACGGCTGGAACCAACTTTACGAGTGGAAGCAGAAAGAAATAAAAAGTTCAATCTGGTTTTCTCGCTGCTAGTTATAATTATGCTTTTCTCTAGCATTTTCTAATGTTATAATTTGCGCTGCGATGCTTTTATCGCTTTTGCTCCCCTCTGTATCTTTTCCTTTTCGACCTTGATACGAATATAACTTCGAGTGCAATTTGTCTTCGATTCAGAACTCTTCTACATGTCTGTCATCTATTTGCTATTCTGGTGCACATCTGCATGTTGTTTTTCATTTTCGCGAAAAAAAGTTCCCCAACGAATTATGCACTGAAATGCGTCATAGTCATCTGGAAGAAGCACTTATGCATCGCTTGAAATTATGTTAATTGACTGGAAATGGGACAGGGTAGAAGTTTTCATCAAAGAATTTCACACCCAGCCTCAGGCCTGGATCATCATCCTGTTCTGCTGCCATCGCCATAGCAAACATTCTAAGAAGTGATAATAGTTGTATTTTTGATGGCCGTTCAATGCCTATTTTTGCTTTTCCTGTTGAACTCCACTTATGCAAGTGTATTTGCACCTCAGACTTTCCTTCTGCTCATCTCCGTATCTCTTATGAATTCGGTCAAGATTGCCAGCTTTTTTGTTTACTCACGAAAGTTTGCGAATTTGGCAATGTAAAGTTTCAACGTTTTCGTTACCGTGCCTTTTGCAGATGGAAAGCCAAGACGTTTTTGATTCGTCTGGTTGTAGTTTTCTCTCTGATAAAAAGCTTGTTTCTAGCAGGAGATATGTTTTGCAAAATGTCGTCCGTCCTTGAGAGATGAGTATGTTCAGTGACTTTCATTGTAGAATACTTTTCTATTGTGTCAAAATGTCGCTTGTATCAGGATTACATGTGACACATATGGCAACCTTACCTTTCTACCTCAATTCTAACAACTGAAATCTGCAAAAACTCTTTTTGTTGAGGCTGTGTATTATTTTTTTTTTGTAAGAAACTCAACTTTTGCACTTGTGATATGCTGAGGAATTTCTGCAGATAATCTCGATTGGAACGTCCAGATGTAAAGATGGCAATCAAGCATCTGGTAAAGTCTCATTATCTTGTTGAGAGCTTGCAGTTGGAGTTTCCTCCCATTTTTCTCGCATCGTTAGTTTCCAATGTGGAGTGTGCGAATGTACATGAGTATGGGAATTTCTGCTTGCAAAATTGCTGCTATAGCTCTCTCTTAGAGATGATGTTGGTCATTCCTGTTTGAAATAAAAATTTTTTTTCAAACCTCAGTCCGCATCGATGAATGTGTGGTACTGGCAATTTAGTGCTCCGTAAATGAGAAATGGTGGCTGTTGTTGACCATACTCAGGTCTAGCATGATCATGGGAGGCTTCTCTTGAAATCGCTGAGAAGTGATGTTTGGCTAACATGGTTTTTTTATTCTTCGAATTTTCTTGCATTAGATACCCTAGCTGCTGCTTGAAACACTATGTCTCACAAAAAGTCTGTCTTGTCAGAAATGTCATCAATCAGATCCGATTCAGCCTTAGAAGGTGCTGTTGAAAGGAGTCAAAGGAGAGTCATAGTACTTGATTTGAGAAATGAAAATTTGAGAAACTGTAATTAGAAGAGATAATTTTTATTTTCAAATTTATCTTCAAAATCAAATGAACTGTTCTCACGGCATTATTTTTCGTTGTTGTTTCTTTGGGTGATGTATAATTTCTCTTGCATCATGAATCCTTCTCTAGTTCGATGATTTGTAAAGTATAGTGTCATAACTGTAGTATTTGATGGGCTGAAAAATTTCCTCTGAGAAAGTTTTGTCATTATGCGACAGTTTTGTAACTATCGAATTTAAATGCTATAAATTTGCTGCATAGCATCTTTTTCATTCTTGTGGGATATGAGTAAGTGATTAACCTGAAATTTCGTAGCTATGGTCCATCTCTTCAGCTTGTTTTTGTTACTCATAGTCTTGCTCAGTTCTTGTCTTTTTGGTTGCACGTATGTAAGCAAAGGCTGCGTGGAATTTCTATGCTAATTATATTTTTTGGTGACTGTTTTTCAACCCTTTTGATGTAATTATAGAGTGCCAACAAAGGGCTTTTTGCCCATGTTCTGTCTATTGATGCTTTTCGTAAGCTCACCCTCTCTGTGGATACCCATTCCAGAGTTTGTACCACCAAAGATAGTTCATGTCATGATCGAGCCTTGAAAAGCGCTAATGACCATATTCTATTTGAGGCATGCAGAAGTGATTACGCAATCGCTTAGTTTTGGGAAATAATATGTTGGGTCAAATACAAGATAAAGCAGATGTTGTCTGAGGTAGTCTCGAAACTCGAATCTGCAGCGTGTAATTATGTGCTTATAAAGCTGGAGCTCAAGGCCATCAAGTTCTCGACTTCCAGTTCTATTTCCTTCTGTCTTAGATTCTATACATCAGCTATGTAAATGAAATGATTGTGTTTTGAGCGGAGCTCATTTTATGGAAACATTCCCTTGTGCATTTTTTCGCTTGCCTTCCATTGGACTATAAAGAATTGAGCTCTTCTTTATCATGGCAAAAATTTTCAGCCAAATTACACGCTTGTTGACCACTTTCGATTAAAGCACCAAAAAGCATGACATAGCTGCGGGACCTATAAGAAAAAGAGACGGTATTTTGTAGCTGTTTGCAATTAGTAAATTCAGACATACTTACTTGGAAAAACTTCCAATAATCTCTTTAGGTTTCTAGCATGGGTGTTCCAATTAGTCAGTGTGTAATTGCTTTTAGTAGGTGTTGGAGATGCTTTTCCATAAGCTAATAGCTGCACGAGACGTATGGTATCTATGATGATGGGAAAATACAGTTAATATGAGATTTGATGGAGAAAATTTTCAGGATGAGTTAGGTAGTGTTGGTAGATGTAGTTGGTAAATTGGTAGTGTTGTGTCCAATAAAACAAGAAAAATTAGAATACTGGAATATCATCAATGCAATTGAGTAATTTTCTGTGGAGAATGTAACACGGCGACTTTCGTTGCAGTTTTGCGCGATTTCCGTCTAAATCGTCTCATGCTCTCGGGAGGTGGGGTTTCGCGATACATTCAGCTTCTTTGTATTTGTTAAGATGCTATCTGTGGTCTTAGTGTAGACGAAACCGTAGATGAAGAATTGAAAGCTCTACTATAATAATCCGTTTGTTCGGCTTCTGCATGCCAGATTTACGTAAACAAATCGCATGGAGCTAGAAAATTTCTTCTGCGGTAATCTATCTTGTGTGAAAGAGGCGAAAAATCTTTAGGCAATTAGTAATTTTTCATGTCTCCCTTTATCTTGATTGCAACATTTGCTCCCTATTTTTTTCTTCGACTCGTAACGTATGATGTTTGCAGAAGTGCAGTGCATCCGCATGTCCTTTGACGAAACAGTTGTGCAATGAATGACTGACTGACCTTGCCGATGTCCGCGCTCTACAACAAGTTCTGTTCCAGATCGACTATCCGGACGTTCAACACCTCGTGCCAGCGCCGCCAACGTCGCCGCAGCTGAAGCAGATGCGGAAAAGCGTCCACGCCATTGACGCCGACACTCGAGCGATGCCGCCTCCGCCGATTCCGCCCAGACCACCGCGTCTGCCGCCGGCGCGCGCTCCCGCGCCGCCGATTCCCCGCGGACTGCCGAGGTATAATTAATACATGCAGCGGGGGCTATATGCTAAGAGGCTTGCACATTGAGTGAGAGTGTACGACCCCTCCACTTCAGATCCTATCCAGTGGAGTTCCCGGTGGACGTGCCGACTACATCCACTTTCACATCGGTTGCTGAGAACCATAGGAGTCAGGTTTGTGACCACTTCACATTTCCGTAGATCGCTCAGTAATTTTCATGCATCAAACTTGCTTTTCTTTTCACATGTTGAACGCACCGTCCGCCCAAGAAGAGGGTGATGAGATTATAATACGGTACAATAGTGGGGCTCCTAACCAAGTAAACGCCCGAGTTCTATTGCAAAAGATGAATTTCGAAACGAGGAAATCGCTTCAGAAGGGAGAAACGGCGGTGATCGCTCCGCCCGTCAACGTGGGTGGTCGATATACAAGCCCGAAACTGGGCTCAAAGTGTCCAAAAATGTTGGAAACCCGTCTGTCGTTATGAGTATAAGGCTTTCGACAGTTTTGGACACATTTTTGCCGAAATTTGGACTTGTATTTTCAGTTCACCCCCTTAATGGACGGAGTCACCTTTGCCGCTTCTACTGGAGCAGTTTCCTCATGCCTGACTTCATCTTTTGCAGCGGGACTTCAACGATAACTTGATTAGGGGCCCCGCTATTGTAACGTATAATACTCACGAGTCACAAATTTGGGTGGACGACTAATGTTCGGCTAGTGCTCACAAGTCATGCGAAGGGGATCAGGTGAAGACGTCTTGAAGACTTTTCCATCCTGGGAATGTGGTCTTTCAAGGAGAATGCCTTTGCATCCCGAAAGGAAACGGCACGGCAAAAGGAACGGCACATTATTTATGTTGTCATGCAAATGACTCACATTGATTTGTTCGTTAATTAATCAAAGCCATCGACTTTTCGGCTACGTATTTATGTCCAGAAACCATCAATCTCTTTCTTTGAAGGGTTTACACGAACTCTTCAGTGTGACTAAACATCTCTAAATTATTCGAGAATGCAGAATCGACAGAGAATATTATGGAAAAGCCGCACCAAATTGACGCATGTTTTTGCGCAATCTGGAGCAGCTTTTTTATAGTAATCTCTTTCTTAGCAAACTCAGAACCGTCCAAAAAAACCTTTTTCAAGCGATTTGCTAGCCTTAGTCTCATGCATTTTGATTTTTCCAGTCTTCGAACTGGACTCACCAGAATAGAAATCTAATCCCACTTGCTAAACAGACCACGACATCAGCGCAAAGTGCAAAATTTCGAGAAAAAACGTGACTATAGGTTATGTTGTCTGTCATAACGCATAATGAATTGCTCTCTGCACTTTAACCGTTTTCATTCTGGGTTCCGCTCAGTTTTTATGAGCGTGGGACCAACGAATTTCAGATCGGCTAACATCTCAATGGTGTGCACTATTTTTGAAAATAGAGTTGAAATTATTTAGAATATAGCCGACAATAGTTTTGTCATCACTACTGTTTGCGGAACTAGCTAGAGAATTCCTTCTAGTACTCGAATAATACTGGCTTAGCTAGGTAATATGTAATGTGCAATTTCTGATTCATGTTGACAGAATGCATTGGAAGTTATGATTTGTCAAAGGCTGTCTGCTCCTATGGTAGTAGTTGTTAGTCATCCATAGTGCTTGTAAAAATACTTATAATGATGCGAGTAGAAAACTCGAATCCTTGTCATATGACGTATACTTCAAAGGTCGGATTGTCTTATATAGCTTTATTTAAAGCTGACTGTGGAGCTCCACCTAAGTCATTGCAGAACTATATTCTAATGATTAGTTTGCCGAGAAAGTCACCCACTACAGTCTCACCCATACCGTATTCTTTCTGAGTCCACGGTGGATGACAGTTCAGTTTTATGAATGGAGCTTACAAATTGCCGCTTGGGCAGTAGCTTAGTAGGATTTCCCAATCAGCATCCACATAAGAAATTCAGTTACCCAGAAGCACAAATGCCCTTGGGATTAAAAAGGGCTTCGATTTCGAATTTATTGTACATTCTTCATTTTGTTCGTAGACATGTTTACTGCTCAAACCCTTTCCATCATGTGTTGCTTCCGGCAAATTGTTTGTTTTGTCAAAAGTTGAGAACATACGAAGAGTCTTGCAAATTGCTTTCATCTTCTGTTACATCTGAGCAAACATTTAGTCTTTTTCCCCATGTCTGGGTACCATGTAATTGCAGTAATTGAATAGGACAATTTGTTGCTCGTCTCCGTTGACTGCCCAGATAGCTTTTCTGCACTCATTCTTTCAGCAGCTCAGTTGAGCAGCGTTTGTACTCATTCATGGTTTCTTCTGCTGGTTTGGGCTCATTTTCTAGAGGGAGGGGAAGGGGGCTAAAATTCGCCGTTTCTTGTGAGAGTTTCAAAAAATAGAAGAAACTTCGTTCAAAAATATAAAATAGTTCATTAGCCTAATTTCGTGCTAGAAACAATTCTGTTTTGATACATAAATTTCCCCACTCTTATTCATAGTCTAGTTCTCACATCATTCACGAACAGCTGTTCAGAGTTTTCTTTAGTTTTTTTTCTCCATATACTTTCGCGAGTTTTACTTTTGGGTCGTAAAGTAGACCTGGAAGTGCAAATGTCGCACTGTCATCAGTTCTTATAAAAGTGACTGGTCTTTCCATCTTTCCATCGATCGTATAACTTACTCGGGTGTATTTTTAGGTGTACTTGAATGGTTTGATGTCCGACGAAGATACGTTAGTCCGGGTGAAACACCGTCGAGAAAAGAGCAATTCGATTGGCAATGTTGGAAATGGCACAGCTCGTCGTTTACGCGTCAGAAGGTGGGCGGAAGCCATTCTTACTCAAATTCCCATTTTATTTATATCCAAATGATGAATGAGATAATAAGTCACTTTAGCACCGCTTCATCAACAACCACAGAAGGCGATGATGCCAGTAATAGTGCTGGAGCTGTGGATTCAGAAGAAGAAGACGACGACGGCTCATGTCCCTCGCATGAAAGCTTTGTGGACCTAAAAGACTCGGTTCGTGAATGCCTCGAAAAAGAGCCGAGCGAGCGGAACAGCGAGGATTTAGCCGTTTTATTGGTAAGCTCTCAGATCGTCTTGCATTGTCAATTAGTCCGACTAATGGTTTCCTCAAATCGACGAATCGCCGGCATTCTCTTTGTAGGATTTTATGCAACATATGTCTTCATTCGCATCTCTGCCAATGTCTATAAAACGACAACTGTGTCTGAAAATGGTTTTTGCGGTGGTTAACGACGCGGGAACGGTTGTAATGCATCACAATGAAAAACTCGATGCTTGGTGAGTCGCATTTTTATGTCATTTTTATACGCAATTTTTGTGCTACCTAAAATTTGCTGGTCATTGAATTCTTAAGAAGTTCCAAATGTCAGGTGCTTCCTTATTTGGTCTTAGATGAGGGTAAAAAAGTTAGTTCGCCACGTTTTAAAAAGTCTTCACTTCTCTGCATCTCAATAGAATCCTTCAAATTAAGTTTGCTTCACAACAGAAAACACCCTGTTTGTGGCAGTATCTTCGCAAAGAATTAGTATGAGAGGTTTCACAGTTGGAGGCAGTTGAATACTCAAATTTGGCATAATTAAAGCAGCCTCACGCATTCTGGAACTGTTTTCTTTATAGAGAAAATTATGCGAATTACTATAGCGATTTTTGGCATGAACTGAGACGAAAACTCGAGAGTTAGGAGCAAATGAAGAGAATCACTCGAGTCATGCTCAAAAATTGCACTGGAGTAATTCCATTTGCTTCTAACTCTTGTACTTTCTCGTTTTATATTATGGCAAAAATTATTATAATGCGCATAACTTTCTCTATCAAAAAGTCTTTCAGAATTTCTCATGACCATGTCAACTTTTGAATTTTTTCATATTCATTTATAGCGAAGATACTGCTATAAAGGATGGTTTTTAAATAAAATAATTTGAAGGAATTCCTATGAGGTGCACAAAAGTTATGATTTTTTAAAAAGTCGCGAACATTTCGGACCGACTTAATAATTAAGGGTCTCGTAAAAACTTAAATTCTTCAGAAATACTAAGTAAAAAAATTAAGATGTTTTACCGTTTTTAAAATTTCGGCTGCTGACTTAGTATCAAAATCTGCTGTAAATCCAGATCTCCACTTTACAAAATCTTTGAAAGATGAATGTCAGCGAATGTTGAAATCTCTCTACTCGAGAAGATTGTAAATTTCGCAACGTGTCATTCCATCCATCGTCTTTTTCCAAGAAGGTTTTCATCTTGTCTAGTGACAAGGAAATAGAGTCCATTGTAATTGGAATTAGCATATCCATATTCCGTAGACTTCCCCATTGGACATCTGGGAATTGTGTATCCAATTTATTTCCTGTGGAGGCTTTTTGTTTCCATCAATTATATAGGTTGTGAAACTCTCTCCTGCAATTTTTTTGAAAAAAAAAAGGGAAAATGCTCTCTGACACTTCCTGAATTTTTCTGAAGGAACAGTTACATCCTTGCGGACAGATGCTATAAAGCTTTCCGAATTCTCTTTCCGCGTAAGTTTTGTGCATATCAGAGCGAAATCCTTCATCATTTTGTTGGCCGACATCTGCGACGTCATAGCTTTATAAATCTGAATCAACAAAAATCACATTGCTAAAGCAAATGAATTAATCAGAGTTTGTAATTACATCTGACGTTGAGCGCATCCTGCAGGTTCTCCTACAATAAGAGATTGGAATTTTACTTTGGATTCCTATTTTTGCTGGAATCTTTTGCTATAATTTTGACGCTTCCTTGGGAACTACTGACGAGGGGCACCAAGGAAGCTGCACTACCGGTCTAGTTCTTAGCTCCGAAACCGGATAGTGTTCAAAAACTTAAAAAATTTTAAGACTCTTCTGTATGTGTCTAGCATTTTATCTATCAAATGCACAAAACATCCTTGTTATAATTTCGGAGCGCGTTCTTTTTGAATCTGAAAGATCCGTCGTCGGGCAATTTGATGGCTTATGCATGTGCTGTAAAATGACTGAATGACTGATTCACGGTACTTTTGACACAGCTGTTGAATCAGTTATAAGTCAGATTATTTATAGTCTTTGCCATTGAACCTTATGGAACTTGCATTACTTGATATTGAATCCAAGCCCACGTCTTCCGTATCTCATCAGTCTAGAGCAGACGTGGTTTTTTTCTCTTTTCAAGTTTTGCTTTTTGCCATAAAGTTATGATAAATTTTGACAATTGATAAGAGGTCGAAGAACGGTGTCATCTAGTGATGTTTTGGATTTTGAACATATAAGCAGATAAAAGCAGAGTGAGAACAAAGAGGTATTGCGAAAGGTGCTGTCGACCTTTTTTCTACAGCTTTTTTTTTTCAAAAAAAAAACATTGTGTATGAAAAGCATGTGAACTATAATGAAGCTGGCATCTCGGCTCAGTGGCTGAAGTTTACTCTGATTTTCAGGTCAGTAATCGTGAATGGTCTCGTCGAAGTGGTGAAACCGAATGGTGAACGAGTAGAATATAAATTAGGCGATTCATTTGGTGCTGAGCCAAATCCGGCGGTTCAATATCATGTCGGTGAGATGCGCACAATGGTTGATGACTGCGAATTTGTGCTGGTTGAACATAAGGTAAGCTCTAAAATTCATTTGGACAAGGTTTCTTAGATGTACATGAACAATCTTTTAGGACTTCTGCTCGATCATGTCTACTATCGGAGAGCATATCGAAAAAGATCGTGATGGGCTAACCGGTGAAGTAGTATCAGAAACTGAAAGAAGAACTGTTGGTAGTCAAGTGGGATTGGTTTTGATTAAGGGAAAGGTCAGTTAGTGGAAAGAAATTTTTCAAAAATCACTTTTGCTTGTCTAGTTTGATAACAGGATTTCTGGATTTTCTTGATCGATTTGCAAATTTTTAAATTTTCAAATATCGGTAGTTCCAATTTTTGATTCAAATTATTACATTGTTTACATCATTTTTTAGCCCGATAAGCTCATTCAACATCTCGTTGACGAGCGTGACAGCAATGTGGATCCACACTATGTAGACGATTTCCTGCTCACCTATCGAGTATTCATTCATAACCCTACGATAATATTCGAGAAGCTAATGATGTGGTTTGCTGACGCAGCGCTGAGGGATAAGGTTTGTATAAAATGTCTTTCCTTCGCGTTACTCGAACCTTTATCCTCGTGCACTTGCGGCTGCTGTTCTCTTCTCACTAACGCCCTGAAACGCCGTTCGTATCAGGCGGAATGGCATAGCCATTGAATAAACGAGCTTGACCTATTTCTTCCGGATTTTTTTTGTCCAGATTGGATGAAAGTGCGTGTAGATTCTCGCTTTGAATGTTTTGCCCTTCTTCTAGTACGAATTTCGTAGGAACTGACAATGGAACTACGAATCGCTGGGTTAGGGAATACACTTTCTGTCAGGTCGGGTTTCATATACTGGAGCTTGAGTGAGGATCAATGATGGTAGAAAATACGATTTTCCCAATAGGTATCACTTCCAAGGTTCTTTTATCACAAAAAAAAAACACAGAAAGAGAAATTTCGGCGCTTTCGTGGACTCACCTGCCACCGTATGCTCCCGTACCCCCTGTCTTATGAAGCGAGGCTGACATCGCAGCTGTTGAGGGTTTTGGACTGAAGTACTTCTAGCATGCGATGTCCTAATACAAATGGTCACATTGTCTTTACACATGTAGTCACTGTAGCATACTGTAGTGGTGCAAAAGGACCGTCTTATCTTAGATTTCCACTATTTATGCCAAGTTCAAATGAATTTTGATGAATAATCTTAACTCTTTACCCATGTTTGATAAGTTTTTTTAATGTAGCCTACATGATTTATTCAATTGCGAATGTTCCTTGTTTTCAGCTGTAAATGATCATAGTTTCAAAAAAATTCTCAAAAATTCGAAGTAGAAAAATTCCTTTAATCAAAACAAATTTTCTGTTCACTCAAAGAGTTCGGATCGCCACCTGCACCTCCTCCTTGGTCCTTATGTTACTGTTTTGCAGATCGCTCGTATCGTTTTACTGTGGGTGAATAACCACTATAACGATTTCGAAACGAATGATGAGATGACTAAGCTTCTTGAGAGGTATATTGGAAGACTTGCACTTATTTTCACCAAGAAATTCTCTCAACTGCTCTATTTGATAGGTTCGAAGGTGCATTGGAACGTGATGGCATGCATAGCCAACAAAGTTTGCTCAACATCGCTTGTTCTGTAAAGGCAAGATCTAGGACGGTTGTTTACGCTAGAGCTAATAAGGTAATTGACGCGATTAGCTGTACTTCGGGGTTAATTCATTTGTTTAGGACGATCCACTACACTTTAGCATTCAAGGTGGTAAAGAATGCGGCTGCGGGATTTTCATTAATGAGGTAGGTGGTAAATTACGGTTGGCTTGGTAAACTAGTGATCTGTTCCAGGTGCAAGTTGATTCTCCTGCTGAAAGATGTGGCATAAAAAGAGGCGATGAAGTATTAGATGTGAATGGTCAAAATATGAAATATATGTCACTTGCCAAGGCGCAGGAGATGATGAAGGTTGCATGATTTTTGTCACTCTTTTGGAAGTTTTGTTATGCAATAATTCTTTTCAGGGGAGCGTATCACTGACTTTGACCCTGAAAAGCAACGTTCTCGGCTTCAAAGAACTGCTAGGAAGAAGTGAACGAGACGGTTCTAAATCAGCAACCAAGAATCGAGCTCTAGCTGGAGCATTGACCCAAGCTCGCGGCAGCATACCCAATGTCATCCCGGTCAAAACAGCCAAAGCTGTCAAATTGGGCGGTAAGTGCAGTTTTCTGACTTAGTTCGAGTTGAGTTGTATCGCCCATCTTAGGAAAATTTATAGAGGTGATGGAAGTAGGTTTGGCTACGATGCGGCGTGAGTTACTTTCTTTATCCTAGCCTTAGTTAGAATTCCTACTGTGGGGTACAAGTGGTTGTTTATTGTGGTGATGTGAAGTTTATTGTCCTCTAGGTAAGACGAGTATGATGGATAAGCTGATGACGATTCTCAAGTCATCAAAAGATGGTGAAGATCTCCCCGATGAGGTCCGCACAATGACGAGTCCTCTGCGACCTAGTAGATCTAACCCGGACATAACGTCAATATCTCAGTACTATGGTCCTGTCAAAAGTGAATGTCCAGAACATGTGCTGAAAATATATAGGTTAGTTCCTTCATACCTGGGCTGATTAAATCTTTTATTATTGTTTTAGGAGCGACCAGACCTTCAAATACCTAGCTGTCTATAAGGAGACAACAGCTCAAAATGTGGTCCAACTAGCGCTACAGGTTGGCAATAAAAATCACTACGATTTTATTACAGATTGGAGAGTTTAAAATAAGATAGTTTTTGTTGTCTTCGAATTTAACTTTGATCTCACAGTGGCATGCTATAAACATACAATTGTACAACAATTCCCTTTCGCCGCACTTCGGTCGAATATAATTGTGATTATCAAGAAACTATTGTATCTGGGATCTTTGAGAAGCTTTTTGGCCTCATACGTGTAGAGCCGCTACGGTAGTGGGAGGATAAGTTTCCCACATATCACTAGAAATAGAGGAGGATCATATTCTCTTTTTTTTCTCTAGTGAGTTTCAAGCTCTATAATGCTCTTGAAAAAGCAAAACTTGCATCAATAGCTTTCTGTTTTGAAACATGCATGAGAAAACATGATGAGAAAGATTAGTGAGAGATCTATCTATAATCAATAAGTAGTGAGCCTCGATCTTTTTGTTTCAGGAATTCAACATGACAGCTGAGGGTAGCCTGGAGTGGTCGTTATGTGAATGTACAGTCACAGAGGACGGAGTCATAAAACAACGACGGTTACCTCCACAAATGGAAAATCTTGCTGAGCGAATCGCTTTGAATAGTCGGTGAGTGCATAGTAGTTTATAGCCTTTAGATCGTACCACTTTTTTCAAGAATCATGGAAGATTTTTATAGGTACTATCTCAAGAACAATAATCGTTCTGAACCACTTGTTCCGGACGATCTTGCACCAGAAATCATGCGAGATGCACAAGCACAGTTGCTTAGTTTGAATGCTCAGGTAACATTGACTAGAATAGCCTGAAGATGATTGATGCATTGTAATTATTACAGGTAGTTGCTGCACAACTCACTTTACAAGACTTCGCAGTGTTCGCGTCGATTGAACCCACGGAGTACATTGACAACCTTTTCCAGCTAGAGTCCAGGTAGGAGCTTTCCGTTCACTGCATGTCGGCTATTTTCTCCCCAATTGCTTTATTCTTTTTTATTCATGGCTCCTTTTACTTCTTTTCTTTTTTTTTGTTTGCACTATGGTCTTTTTGGTTATCTGATTTGTATGAACGAGTGACGGATCATCTAGATATGGATCTCCAAGACTGGAAGAATTTGAGCGAATTTTCAATCGTGAAATGTGGTGGGTGGCTACTGAAGTTTGCTCTGAGAGGAATGTCCAGAAACGAGCGAAACTCATCAAGAAGTTCATCAAGGTGGCTAGGTATGGTTTTCGTACCCATGCTTCTATGTTTCAGTATCATATGGATGGTATTTTTCAGGCATTGCCGTGAACTGCGTAATTTCAATTCGATGTTTGCCATTATGAGCGGGTTGGATAAGCCAGCTGTACGCCGGTTACATTCTACTTGGGAACGAATTTCGGGGTAAGCTTCATAAGCATATTTTTGTGCTTTTTGAGCAAGTATCCATCAAAAACTTTTAGCAAGTATGTTCGAATGCTTGAAGATGTCCAGCAATTGGTAGACCCCTCAAGAAATATGTCGAAATACCGTCAACATTTGGCCGAAGTAGCACAAGAACCCCCGGTGAGCATGTCTCTTGTACCTCTTATACTTTCTTTTTGCATTTTCTTTCCGTTATATTTTGACTTTTCTCTGCATTCTTGGTTTCTGTCGTAGGTTGTGCCGATCTATCCCGTCATAAAGAAGGATTTAACGTTTTCACATGAGGGAAACCCGACATATTGCGAAAAGCTGGTGAACTTCGAGAAGCTACGGCTGATAGCAAAATCTGTACGGGCCGTGAGCAAACTCAGCAGTGCACCTTACGAGATCTCCAGCATGGCGGAAAGGGTAAGCCTCTTTGATGTTTGTTCACTTTCAAATCATTTAGAGAATTTTTGACATTTGCTAAAATATTTGCAATTTGTCCGAATCGAACTTTTTATAAGCATGTTTGACATCTGACGATAAGATTTCTCAATATAGAAGCAGCTGTTTTCTGTCAATGTTATCGGACATTGCTTTCTCTTTTTGGATTGCTTTTTTTGCAGAGCGGTGGTACCATTAGCGATGCTTTGTTGCACATGAACACTTTTGAGAGTGGGAATGTCGCAACAATGCGAAAAGGAGGGCGAGTTATCCAGCCAAGGAAAAAGGTTAGAAAACACGATGGTTCAAACATTTGACTGATCTAAGGGTATTTAGGTGTATGAGCAAGCGCTGATGGTGCGGAAGGTGAAAGCATACTTGGATGGACTTAGAGTGGTGGATACCGAGTCAGAGTTGGATCGGCTTAGCTACGACATCGAGCCACAGCAGTCTGGTGAGTATGAAAACTTTGAAAAATAGTGTTTACAAGTTTTACGAGAATCGTCTATCCTTCGTCTCGTAGGTCCGCGGATAAGACGAGTTCCCAGTCCATCTCCATCTTCTGTTTCATCCCAATCTGCCGAATCGAACTCGCTGGACCAACGCCGCTTCAAAGGAGGCGGTATGTTTGGCGTAGACTCTCCTCAAGCAGTGCAGAAAATGCTTGGCTTAGTCCAAACCAGCAAATCCAAAGGTTTGAGGAGTAATTTTATAGTTAGTGGGATAGTCGGATTGCTGCTATGTTGCTATTGCAGGTGTACCTTCACCAGCCCAATCTCCTGCGATATCTACCGGAAGCAGGGGCTTGCAAAGGAATCTTCCACGGGTATCCGCCAGGCAACAGTCTATCCCAACTCTTCAACGAGCACCGTCGTTCAAGCAAGAGCCGGTTGACTTGAATAAAGAGTCGAGTTCAGTGACTACCTTTTATGGCGCTGGTGGGTATTTAATTATTTTGCGTTTGAGTCTCTTCAGCTTTCAGTTTCAGTTTCGTTTCCATAAAAAAAGTTTTCTTTTGGGATACGAATGCTTTCTTGTGGTTGTGTCTTTAGCATAGTACAACTACTTTGGGGTCTTATAGCTGGAGCTTATTTTGCTGCTTATAATCAAGCAGATTTTGCTTACCATATTGAACAATAGTTCGGGGAAAGGTTCATTTTCCGAGCAGTTGTTGGATCTTGGTATAGGCATAATACTTACCAAGCATAGTGTGAAATCTGTTTGATTGTGTGCAAATTGTGTTGTGTTGTGCTGTGATGGTGAATTTTCAGATGTGTTGATATAACTGTGTTGCTAGTGATGCCGGCTCCCCCTGTCTTTGACTAGGTAATTTTTTCATTCGTTGTTGTGCATCAGTCATGTTTGAGTTGTTGTTTTTGATTCACTTTCATGGGTTCTTCTCTGTTTTTTCTCCTTTTCCTTTGCAGTGACCTATTTGGACGAAATTGGTTTATACTAGTAAGGCTGATATGCTTTTAAGCTTCCTTTTGGGAACTTCTAACTGTCAGAGTAACATGGGTTGAATTTGCTTGGTTTTTACGCTTGCCATAAATTGACTTTGAAGTAGAGCGGAGCCAGACAGCATACTAAAAAGGATATTTTTTGAAGCTTGCAATGCTCGCTTGCTTTGTAACGAGGCGTAGGCTATCTCACAAATTATCCCTTGTTCTAAATGCAAGGATCGATAGTGGATCTTTGTCAAATTTTTGTAACTTTCTACGGCAATATATGCGCTAACTCCTGAAAGAATGTTCGAAGTGCCAACTAAATAGATTGGGCGCCATACAGGAAAAATTGTGTTTTGCATACTATGTATCATCCAGAATTCTCACAAGGGAACCATGTTTGGTCGAAGTGACCTTTCTTGGGATCATACCATATTGGAGGGCATAAAATGCTGATTCCAAATCTGCCTCTTTAACCTGTGGAAAGTTTATGGTTGAGGTTATGAGCGTTTTATGGAGCAAAAAATTGAATGTGCAAATAGGGCAAAAGTAGTGTAACATAATCTAGCGCTTTGATGAAGCAGGACAGTCATCAAAGCACTTTATTCAATGAATATTCTAAAATAAAAAGAATATATTATGCTTGTTTGCCTAATTTTAGGGCTAGCAAGATTTTACTAACTCATTCTGTTCTAAATGCACTTAGTTTTTGCTCCAATAAATGACTTTTCGTCCACAAACGTTCTGCAGATAAAATAAGCAGATTTGGAATTAGCGTTTTATGCCCTCCCATATCGTATACAACCCATATGAAAAGCCGCATCGGCTAAACATACTTCCCTTGTTAGTAATATAATAATCATTCACAAATTATGTATAAGGTTGTTGCAAAAATAATGTCCGTTTTTCTAAGCCTATATTCCAAACAACTTTTTTCCATCAAACTTTCTTTTACGATACTGAGTCTTCATATCATTAGAAAGCGCTCATCATGTACTTTCTAACGGTGGTGGAAGTAAGTTGCTATCCTCATCTTTGAGGATTTTACCAGCATTTTGCATCTCCGCACTCAAAATCGAAGTCTCATAGCTTTCAGTTTGTAAGGTTCGGGAAAATATGCGAGTTCTGTCTTTTGTTACCTTCCAAACCGAACCTCAACCTTGAACATCATGATCATTATTAACTAGATTTATCAAACTGAACCGGCTCAGTACAAAGCATTAGATAAGGGAAAGCACGACAACAAGACAATAAACAGTAAGCAGTAGCATGGCTAGGCAATGCAAAGAGCTAAAAACTCAGGAGCGAGCTGCATTCCTCAGCTCCAGCCGCAGCCCAGCATGGGGCGGGGTGACTGAACGTCCGAGACCCTGCGCCCTTCTATTTATACCCGCTCGTTGGACAACGACGAAAAAGAACACATGACTAGTAAGTGCATTAAATGTGAGATATGGTGCATAGCCTGCACATCTCACCTCCTCCGAGAAGTTCCGTCTCGGAACTTGTATAACATATAGGTAATAAGTTGGTGATTGAAATAATAGATAGACTCGGAGTTGTGGGCAAGAGCGAGTAAAGCACTATCACACTATTAATGCTACGTACAGATAAGACTATGAATATGTAGTGTTATCCGGTGAGCGGGGTTAAAAGAAGGGATGTATTAGGTCTGGACAGCGTTTGCGGCAGGAAGATGTGGAATTTAGCTTTACAACCCAGTAGTTTGTAATGATGCGGAAGTAAGGCAATCTTTGAAATATGCCACAAAAACTTCTACGAAATAGTAATAATGTGTGAGATCTATGCTTCCATTGGATAATTAATAACACAACTAATAGTAGAACAACACGTTCTTAAAGAGAGGAGAAATGAAATTAAATACAGAGAAATACAACTAATTGAAACACATTATACATATACGCGAAGATGACGTAATCATAGATGAGTCACTTCATGTGCTAGAAGAAGGCATGAGTCATTTAGAATGCACTTCAATGCGCGGAAATGACTTCATTGACTTTGTTGATGTTATGATTGATCGTATATTTGGTTTCTTCTCAAATGTGTTGATTGATACTGTTTGAATGTCGTTGATTCGCAACCATCTCGATTAGTAGAATTATAAAATCAGCTTGATGACGTTGTTGTTGTAGGATGGCACGATTAATCGATCGGGGCTTTTGTCCAAATCGTTGCTTCGAGCGAGGGAGTTGTTTCGCCATGACGAATAAGACCATGTGCGTCTGCTACGAAGTATCTGCTTTCGACGACTGTCGAGAGGAGGATAACAACTCGATTACAACGGCCGTTCCTGTTACTAATGGTTATCCAAAAGAGCCGTTTGATATGGTGATAGCCGTAGCGATTGGTGGTGCCGGTAAGTTTCAAAAGTAATAAAAAAAGGTCGAGTTGTCTCCTCTCTTGGATTTGGACTACGCTAAAGGAAGACAAAGAGACGAAAAAAAAAGAATTAGTCGCAGTATCCTTTTTTTTTGAATTTTATTTTCAGTGATCCTGCTACTGCTGTGCCTATTGCTGATTATGGTAAATGGCTGTTGTGTTTCTACTAGGAGGCGGCGTCGCGTACCAGCCCGAAGAACGAAAAGAGGTGTGACCGGCGTTCTTGTGGCGACTGATCCATTTGCACTGAACGAAACAATGGTATAATTACGTTCACTTATGGGAATCAAAATAGTGCTTGATTTTTTTTTCTCTGATCTCTTGCCTTTAGATCTCAACGAGATCTCTACGTATTGTTGCCTTACTTTAGCATGAATAAAAGGTGTAAATGATTAGATGTTGGCTAACAAGCGATGAAGCAAAAGCGTAAGCTTTTTTTTTTTTTTTTTTTTTGAGGTTCATTACGGCGTTGGCGAGCTAGGTGGTGATTTGTAAAGTTTGGTACGATTCATATGGATAGTCCTAGTCCTATTACCGTCACGGATGGTTATATTTGGCTTTTCGATGTCCAAAATTTCAAAAGGTCCGTCAAATCGCGGGGCAATTTTTGGTCCTACGTCTTTCCTGATCAAAACTTTATCGCCAATCTGATAATTTGCAGACTGCGCGCGTTTCCTCAGATCATAACGATGTTTTTGCGCGGTTTGAGCGGACTCAATATTCTGATGAACATGCGTCCATACATTTTTGAGGATTGGAACTAATTGGTCTGCATAATCTTCTTCGTTCACGAATCTTTTTGAAGGCAATTCTAAAGCAAGACGGAAGGGGTTATTAGGCTCTTGACCATGGACTAAAAAGTGAGGCGTATACTTCGTTTCCGCATGTTCGCAAATGTTATAGGCGTGCGTTATTAGGTGTAAGACGTCGTCCCACTTGTCACTATGTTCCACAGTTGCGATGGAGATCAATTCCTGCAAAGTACGATTAGCCCTCTCCACCTGACCATTGCTTTCATGGTGATATGGAGTACTGGTTTTATGTTGTATGTTAAGCAATTTGAGAGTGTTTTTGAAATTTTCGCTCATGTAGTTGGAGCCCTGATCGGTCACCAACGTATGAGGTGGACCAAAACGAGCAACAAACCTATTAATGAAAACGTTACATGTTGTGTGCGCCTTTTGGTCAGGTAGAGGTTCAGCGACAATAAATTTAGAGAATGCATCTACAAATACTATAATAAATTTATTACCTTCAAGGGTGAGTGGTAACGGCCCAATGCAGTCGGAGTGTACGCGTTCCCAGGGACGCGTTGGTATGTCAAATGCTCCCATAGGTTCGTTAACCTTGTATGTCGAAGGATCCTTGCGGATCTGGCATAATTTGCAAGAACTAACATAGTCGTTAACATCCTGCAACATCTTATTCCACACCGCAAGTTTAGATACTGCTTTGTAAGTTTTCTTAATTCCGAGATGAGCTGTACCCATTTGAGATGAGTGCATCTTTTCTATGAGTTTTCTCCCTACCTGTGAATTCTCGGGCAACACTAACTGAGGTAATTCTGTAATTTTGGTTGGTATTTTGTAAAGCATGTCATTGATGATAATATATTCAGAGAGTTCAGGCTCATCAGAACCTTCTTGCAAGGCTGTCTTATACAGAGATATCCACGGGCACTCATCTTGCTCCTTTCTCGCTTCTGTAGAGGAGAAATGATATTCTTCCTCCTCTTCGCCTGTGGATATACCATAGATAGGCGGATTACGTGAAAGAGCATCGCACAGTAAATTGTGCTTACCGGGGCGATAAACAATTTGAATATCATATTCCTGCAATATTATTTGATATTTTGCCAAGCGTCCCATTAGGTCTTTGCGATGCAAGAGAGCCTTAAGTGGTGCATGATCCGTGATAACGGTACATTTCGCACCGTCAATATACGGGCGGAATTTCTGCACCGCAAAAACTAATCCCAGCGCTTCTAGTTCTATTGGTGGATAACGAGATTCATGTTGATTTAAAGCCCTACTAGCATAAGCTATGCATCTCATTTCTCCATTCTGATCTTGTCTCAAAACTGCGGCTACGGCCTTAGAAGAACTGTCTGTTTCAATCACAAATGGTTCTCCTAGACGAGGCGCTGCCAAAATGGGTGGTGAAACAAGATGATCTTGGAGTTCAGACATAGCGTCCGCACATTCCTTTGTCCATTCAAATTTTGCATTTTTCTTCAAAAGATTATAAAGCGGAGCTGCTATAAACGCAAAGTTATAAATAAAACGTCTGAAAAAGGAACACATTCCCAAAAACGCTCTCACTTCACTCACATTAGTTGGCGTCGGGTAACGGCGAATTGCCTTTACCTTTTCAGGACTGGGTTGTATTCCATCCTTACTTAGGATAAACCCTAAAAATTCTATTTCCTCCCGTGCGAACTCACATTTGGAAGCCTTAAGCTTCATACCTATAGCCTCAATCTGGGAAAGGACTTCGTCTATATCCTGAAGGTGTTCTTCAGGAGTTTCCGAAGTTACAATAAGGTCATCTATATAAATAAATACGCGCGCTCTTAAGTGCTTCTTAAAGTCATTCATAATTCGTTGGAAGGTGGCCGGCGCTCCCTTTAGCCCCATTGGCATTCTAACATACTCGAACGTCCCCAAAAAGCAAGCGAAGGCTGTGCGCTCACAGTGGGACTCCTCTAATGGGATCTGGTGAAATCCCTGCTGGAAGTCCAATGAGGTATAAAGGCACTGATTTGCGCACAGATCCACGATGTCCTGGATGTTGGGCAAAATAGACGATTGCGTTTTGGTTATCGCATTTAGGCCCCTATAGTCAATTGTGAAGCGCCAGCTGTTAGAGTCCTTCTTTTTCACGAGCACTATTGGGGCGCAGTATGGGGATGTGCTCTCACGGATGATACCTTCCCTTAGCATTTCGATGACCTGACGCTCGATTTCATTGCGCTTTTCCAGAGGGACTCTATAAACCCTGCGTGCAGGTATCTGCGCATTTTCTATGAGGTCGATGCGATGTCTTATATGACCTCTATAGTGACCTAAATGCCCGTCCGGGCCTACAAAGGCTCGGGAATGGCACCTCAATAATGTTTTGAGATTGTTTAGGTGTGGTTCTGGGAGCGCAGTCTTCGAGAAATCTATCTCGTTGACCACGTCAAAATCAGTGGAAGGTGCTGGGAGCATAGGCATTCTACTCTCCCAGTCTGCTTCCGGTGGGATATAAGGCTGTTGGTAAGGACGGAATGTGTTTTCTATATCTATTGCACAAACGCGGGTATATGACTGCGGAAGAGGAGTAGCTGTAGCGATATTCATGCCTTGATATAGCAGTATGTCTACATTGGAGGGATTCATTATGTTTACTACACAAACACCATCAAAAGTGGGGGTAACCAAGCATCGTCCGATAATGTATATGTCCCGAGAGGGTCTTTCATTATCTTCAATTATGAAGTCAAAAGGCTTAGTTGAGAAATATCCTTCTATGGTCGTACCCCATAAAGGCAACGACTCATTGGCGTGGTCTATCTCTGTTGTCATGTATAGACCATCTGTCATCGACTCAAGTGCATGCCCTCGTATGCTCAAGGTGGCTTCAATAGTTCTACAATCCTCAGGGGACATTGGCAAGCGCTGTCTTTCGAGCACTTTATAAGATGTGCGGATATAGAGGATATTATAGACTGACACAGTTATGACATCCTGATAGCATCTGACAGCGGGGATCTGCAAAGGATGATTTTTGGCATTGTAGATTTGGACTTTTGTTTTTATCATAGGCTCCGTTGGAGAAGCTCGGCACTTTATCGGCTTTGGTAATGCGAGAATATTAGCGAATTGGGTTGTTCCGCAAATCTGATACTCTGCAGCGAAGGGACACGAAAAGAGAGTCATCAAACAAGCAATACAAAAGAGATTACTAGCTGTAGGCATTACTGAAGAACGACTGTTCTGCGGGTTTAATGGCGTAATAGCGTAATTCGGCGGAGCGCTTGGGCCCAGAGGATACGATATCGACGGGTAGAAACCCTGCATCTCATATGGATTATAATTCCTTGTAATCATCCCCCTGGGGCGCCTGAAAGGTCTGCCCCTAGTACTGGAAGCATTTATGCTTGTACGCGCATTTTAGGGAAATCGGCGATTAGTACCCAAAAAGTTGCGACTTTGTCCACGCCCCCGCCAAGAACCACGATTACTCAGTTTGAGATTGTCCACTTGCTTTTGTAAGCGATCTATTTTATCTTCTGTTATTAGAGAATTGATGGTTCTTAGAGTCTCTGAATCTTCAAGTCTCTCTTGCTCAAGTATTCGCGCTTCTTTTTCTGCATTAGAAACTACAGTTTCAAAATCTTGATCTTGAGGAAGACGTCGGACTGCTTTACGTATATCTGGTCTAAGGCCTTTGATAAAGAAATCTTTTGCCAATTGGGTGACCATTGCTTTGTCTTGGCCCTGGAATGCGACCTTTGTTTTTGCATATATCTTTTTCGCGAACTCGCCTACGGAATCTTTGCCTTGCGTCAAACTATGTAGTTCGTCCCTTACATTACTCAATAAGGCTTCACTTTTGAATTTAGTAGCCAGCTGAGTAACTAAGTCCTTCCAAGGAAGCTTATCAGCGTCCTCTAAGTTCTGGTATTTGAGCTTCGCACCGCCTACTAGAAATAATGGCAAGAGGCTTTTTGCTTGCTCCTTTGGTATTTTGAATCTAGAGATGAGATCGGAGTAATCTTCCAAGAACTCCTCAAACGTCCTATCTCCTACTCCCGAAAACTTCTCTATTTTATCACTCAAAATCTTGGAGGACTGGTAAATGTTAGGCTCACCCATACGTGCAGTAAGGCTCTGATTTAAGTCGCGAGGGTCAAACTTTTGATCTGGATCAGACTTAACTTCTGGAGTTTCTTGAATGGTATCAGAAGGGGAAAACTGCGAGGTACTAGGCTGCTGTTCCTCTTGTTTTGAAGACCTGGTACTAGTAGAAGATCTAGTGCCTCTTGTTTTCTTTGATCCGCGGGTTGGAGTTTGAGAAGGCAGCTTGTAATTTAATCAAAAGATTAATCGCAAATTTCCAACAAGACTCAAGCACTAAAATATCAAATGTAAGTATGTATTACTCTTACTCCGAAACTTTAGCTAATTTTTTTTTGATATTATTTTTTTTCCAAAGTATATAAGCGAGAAGAAAAGAAAAATAAAATTTGTTGATAAGCGGAAGTTATTTGATTTGGAGTAAAGAAGTTTCTTGGATACTATTAGCTGCAGCTTGGGTGTCTTTTCTTTCTCCCTCAGTTATTATATCACTTCTATTAAAGTTGAAACTAAAAGTTACTTACGATTTTCTTTGAAGAAACGAACGGTGCCGGATGGACGACAAGACTCGAATGGTACCGGAAATAGGCTTATTAGGTGTTATATAGGGGCAGCGTGATTAGAATCGCGTGGAAATTGACGACTTGCCCTCGTACGATGTAGCGCTTGCATTTGGGATTAGATGCTCCGGGGGAAATCATCAGTCGTAACAATCTGTAAAGCTCTTGACCTTTTGTTTGCAACGCCCGGAGGAAACACCATTAATAGCGTAGCGAGGAAATTAATGAGTACGGCGGATTACCCATTCTACGCACGCGATGACTCTACGCGCACGACCTTGTCCTTTTGGTTTGCAAGCACAAGTGCACATTTCAGTACTGCAACCTTGCAAGGCCTTGCAGAATGATTCATTATTGTACGATTTAAGCAGGAACAAATGAAGGCCAAATGCATTTCCTGTCTACTTTCCTTAAAAATGTAGCGTACCTTGGACCTCCAACTTATATTCCGCTAGCTTATATGGTGGGAAACAACTAAGGATAAAAGAGACTCGAAAGGGCTGAGTTGCTAAAATTGACAGGGGGGGGGGGGAGAAGAATACATAAAATTAAAACTGTTAAGGAAGCCAATATTTTCTTTGTTTCTTTTTGTTTTAACACAACGCTCGGTTAGTATTATTACGCGCCGCGAAGACCGAGTGTACCTGGCCAGGATTTTCTCGCTTCGTATATTACCCGTGTTTAATACTAATGTCACACTTACCGGCGCCTCCTTTTATAATCTTATTACTTCACGGCAGATAATGAAGCGGGTGTGACTCCTACATATTTATATATTTATATTTTTATTTGTTTATTAAGTGGAGCAGAGAAAGAAGATAGCGAAACTGAGCCCTTTACAAAATACCACCAAAATTCCGGCTGTGCACTTTTTTTTTTCTCCTCCACGTAACGCTAAGCTTTTGAGAATAAGTAATCAGTCGAATGAAAAAGGAATAAAATTTATGTTTGATGGAAGAGAGTAAAAAAAAATATCTGAAAATCAAAAAGTCTTATTTTTTTTTCTAGTTTGAAAGCAATCTCACCTGGCTAAGCTAATTTCGCCTACTTGATCTTATCTCGGCTACCTGAACTGATCTGAATCTCGCCGGAACCTCCATGTAAGGTTCGGGAAAATATGCGAGTTCTGTCTTTTGTTACCTTCCAAACCGAACCTCAACCTTGAACATCATGATCATTATTAACTAGATTTATCAAACTGAACCGGCTCAGTACAAAGCATTAGATAAGGGAAAGCACGACAACAAGACAATAAACAGTAAGCAGTAGCATGGCTAGGCAATGCAAAGAGCTAAAAACTCAGGAGCGAGCTGCATTCCTCAGCTCCAGCCGCAGCCCAGCATGGGGCGGGGTGACTGAACGTCCGAGACCCTGCGCCCTTCTATTTATACCCGCTCGTTGGACAACGACGAAAAAGAACACATGACTAGTAAGTGCATTAAATGTGAGATATGGTGCATAGCCTGCACAAGTTTCTTGACCACAATTCAGGAGCAAATAAACGAATTCTTCTGAAAACATAGCAACTGTATCAGATCAAGATTGTTTACCTACTGCGTGCTTAAGTAGATTTTTGGAGATATCTGGACTGAGAAATTGACGCCTCGAAAATGATAGTCACTGCTGACATTCTGTGGGTCAGAAATTTCTCATAATTAAGGCAATTGCCAAAGCTTCGCCCACTTCTGTAAGCTTGAGATAAGCACACCTTAACTACAATATTTGAAGAGAAACTTAGGTATTCAGTGCGTGAAGAATTCCAAATTTTCATAATTTGGCACTCACAAGCCTACAACAAATAGGCTCCAAAAAGTTAACATTTTTGAATTTTTATCTTTTCTTTTCGCAGAACTCCTTCTTTGGAGTCTTTTCTATACACACGTAAACACATGGCCTGCGGCTACAAAATGAGCTGATTGCCAGCCATGCGAACAAAACTTAAAGGGGGTTGTAAGCTCTTAAGAACGAGGTTTTCAAAAGAAAAAGTTCCAGTTTCTTGGCGCATGGTTTTCTTCCCGTTCGCGATATCAGTACGGGCAGTTATGCGCTAAATTACGAAAGATTTGCTGTTTCTGATAGTCTTAACTGCATTCGAAAATATGAAGACTGAACGAAGTTATGCCTTCCAAATTTTTTGCAAAACGAACATTATTTTTGCAACAACCTAATACTATCGTGAGTAAAGTATAGTACAGGCATTTTTTCTATCGCACAAATTCTCAATGCCGAATTATCTTTATGAAAAGCTGATTTTATGTGCTTTAGATACTCCAAGTAAGCGACCTTTTCCTATATCTACAAAACCTCCTTCTATTCCAGTTACAGTATTGCAGCCTAGTCGTTTCGCTCAGTGAGTTGTTTATTCCTTTTTTTTTTCATAATTTTTGGTTAGTGTCTCTTGTTGAGGTTTACGCATAATCGATCACCATATGCGGCTCAAATCTCCAACAGAAGATCTTCCCTAAATGCTTCTATGATTCCCGATACCGCTACCCCATATTTTTCCCTGAAAGGATCGAGGATGCTGCAAGGTTATAATATCAGCCCAACCACGACCCCGTCGGAAAATGCTGCGCGGACGATCAGTGATGGTCAGTTTTCAAACAGACCCAATATTTTTTTCATTTTATCAGTTGCAAGAAACATACTGTACAGCACCGCAATCAAACACCAACTATATATGGCCCTCAAAGTTTAGATCCGCAATAAGGAAGTTATTGATGAAAAGTAGAATATTAGGAAAATTATTTAGCAGTCAATGTTTATGGCGGCATACTGTAGCATGCCAAAGCCTTGTCTACCCAAATGTAGACCATTTCAAAGTGATTACCACTGAGTCTATCCCCTTGCGGTCGCCTCGCTTGGGCCTTGCGCCGCGTTCGCGAGTATATCCTCTGGGTATTCTCCCCTGCCTCAACAGACGTCATCCGCAGGTAAGGCGTGGGGAATGCTTGGAGGTTACGTGAAACGCGTCGCAAGGCCCGAGCAAGGCGTCGGCGATCCCTGAGACGCTAAAGTTGTGACACTCGAATTGAAACAGTCTATATATGTTGATGTTATTCAACGTAACTGAAAATGACTGCTGCAGCTACATAAGTTAATATTTTCAGCTGCTCTGCTCAACGATAATCAGATATCGCGTGTCTAGTGTACAGTGCTCGTCGTGTTCCTCCTTCAACTTACAAATACAGTATATTACATGCTGGATTGATCCAGCGGCAGGTGCGCATATACGGTTCCACTTCGCTTCTACTTATCTGCTCGCAGCTACGCGTTGTTGTCCTCAAACCGCTTAACTGTTTTGTTTACCAAAGTTACCTCAACCTACCAAAATAGCTCGATGAAATGGAGATTATAGCATAGGCCAGAAATGCAGTGTTTTTCTGTATTTTAATATTGTGGATAGATGGGTTATAGCCTTGAATTGTGAAATGAATGTGATCTTCTCTGTGTATGATTTATGAACTCTGCTTGGAACGTTCAAATTCCCGACTCTTGCCATTTCCTAAGCACAAACTTTGTTTTTCATGTTTTACTAGGGACCATAGGTATTGTTGCTCACCTCTTCTGTGCATATTGATGAATTATTTGTAATCATAATATCATACACTGGCCATTGCTCTATACCTGAATGCATATAATACAACCTGAATATCAAACGTTGATCTGATCATAATGCGTTTGTGTTTTTTCCTTCAAATGCATTATCTATAATTTTGCTTGTAACTAATATATATGTTGTATAACTGAATGCTATGAAATCTTGTCATTTCTAAAGTTCAAATAAAAGATACATTTATGTCGTTTGTGCAATTGCCTAGGTTGCGCACCCGTTGTTTCTTCACTTCTTCAGGGAACAAGCATCTCATCCACCTTAAATCTGTGTTTTGAGAATTTCGATTGACAAAGATGTCATTTCGTGCAATTCCTCGTTTGAACATAAAGAAGACATTGCTGTTTGTGTGCGACATGCAGGAAAAGTTTGCGTAAGTGATAATAACACTAATTGTGCATAAACTGGGTAGTCGTTCATTACCTTTTCGTTCTGCAATGATTTCTGGTATATACCCAAAACAAACTCATCGTTACCTGTATCACTGTCTGTAACTCGTTATTTTTCACATAGTGCACCCCATTTTTTGACAGGGTAGGTAAACCGAACACTACCGCTATAGCCCAGTGCGTGCATGCTTCAGAAATATTGTGGGAGCACATTCAAAGGTGGTGAGATTTCGACGCGGTACAGTAGTAGACTCCCAAGGAAGGCAACTGTCCCAGTTGGAAAAGATGATTTTTGAAGCAAGAAAAAACGCTTAGGATGAGAAGAACGGGCCTACCCACAATGCTTCATCGGTGGGCGTGGTTCGTGACCGTTCCCGCCCATGCATCGATATCTCTTTTGACTTATCGAGCACCGAGACTATGTAACTGGTCCTACATGCGCCGGGAGCGAAGCTGGAGCACGCGTCCATGCGTAAAAAAGGCTCCAGAGGAGTTCTCTTTGGTATCAGTTTTCTGAAACTCGTTCTAATATTGGATTCTTAAATGTGAAGAATTGACAGAAACATGAAAGTGGTTAAAGGCAACATCCACTCAAAATTTTGCCTCCCATGTTTTTGCCATTCCGGGCCTTTCCGTGACCCTGATTACAGTCATGAATTTAAATAGCCCAAAACCTTTAAAAACCCGAATCCTGAGGATCCTATCTTGAAGGCGCGGGCGGCTTTCCAGTACATGGGTGGGTGGAGTATGATAGGATCTGGGCGGGGCCTAGCACTTTGGCTGTTCCAGGCTCCTTACCTTCATTCAGAGACAACATTAGAGGTCCGGACCAACGCAGATGCCCCTCCTGTAGGGCTTACATTCAGGATCGACTGTAATCAGAGGGGTTAGATTTAGCCTGGACACTGCCTTTAACCGGAGACAAACTTTAGAAGTATACACAAACAGTAATACGTATAACAACAGTGCGGTGTATCACTCCAGCTAGTCAGAAATGCTCTGTGGTAGTTGTTAGCGAATTCACTGTGCTGCAAAACGTCGTCCAGATACCAGGCTAAAAATTACCATACCTGGATTGTCGCTGTGCTGATGTACCTCAACTTCTTGCGTCTTCATAAGTGGACGAAAAGAGCCTGCCGCTGGTCAAATTGCGAAAATCGAGAAACGGTTCTGTTCTGAGCTGTTTGACTCCGTAAAAACAACAAAACTAGCTTAGAAACAAATCAGAAAAGAATGTAAGTGCGCATGAAGCTAATGGCCATATGGAGTGTTGCTGCACCATTTGACGAATCTCGGAAATTATGCCGGCTATGCGCAGCTGTGCGGAATGCCTCAGCGACTTTATATGTGAAGTAAAGAGAGTAATTACTCGACATCACTGCTTGTGTCTGTAGTTATTCTCCATCGATGGAAAATACTCAGACACATTCACCTGCCGGCGACCGGCGAAGACCGGCTGAAGCAACACCGTCTTTCCGGCTGGGCCGGACGTCAGCGGACGCCAGCCGGTAAGACAACACCGGCCAGCGACCGGCCCGCGGCCGGCCCAGCCGGAAAGACGGTGTTGCCTCAGCCGGTCTTCGGCCGGTCGCCGGCCGGAAAATGTGTCTGAGTATTTTCCATCGATGGAGAATAACTACAGTCACAAGCAGTGATGTCAAGTAATTACTCTCTCTAATATCATTCGGTTTACTCGGTAATGGGAGTTTATGCTGTGAGCGACAGATGTTTGACCTTCTCAATGCAAAGCTCAAATAGAGTAGTAAAGCGAATGACAGATTTATTGAATTTTGGTATTGAAATGTAAGATGTAAGAGGAAGATACATTGAGCTATGTGTAAAGAAGTTGTCAGTTGTTTGTACTAACATTTCTGCTTCCAGCAAAACGAATAAGTTTTTCCCGGAGATTGCTCAAACGGCAAAGCGAGTGATCGACACCGCAAAAATACTGGAAATGCCCATCATTGTTACTGAACAGTATCCACAACGTCTCGGTTCGACAGTGAAGGAACTCGGACTAGAGGACAGCATTCCTCGATATGCAAAAACACAAGTAAATTAGAATGTTCGTTCTTAGATGGTTTACAGTGACGCCATCGTTTTGTTGACTAGTTGTATATACTGGATTGTGCCACTTTAGTTTTCAATGTGCGTACCGGAAGTGGAGCCACTTCTGAAGGACAAGGAAAGTGCTATCCTCGTTGGTCTTGAAGCACATGTTTGCATTTTGCATACGACTTATGGTCTGCTCGAAAAAGGACTGAATGTCCATGTTGTAGCAGATGCAGTGACTGCAAGAACTTTGGTTGATAGGTGGGAAAACCTTTTCTAGTGACCCACTGATTCTGTATTTACAGAAAATTTGCGTTCAAACAGCTGGAGAGAGCTGGAGCCATTCTGACAACATCTGAATGTGTCATTTTGAGCTTGTTAAAGGATGCTAAACATCCTAAATTCAAAGAAGTACAAAAGTTGATCATGACGGAAGCACCGGACTCAGGGCTGCTGGACATGTGAAAAGCTTAGGTCTTCATCCCCTTATGGCCCAAAGGTCCTTCACACAGCTCAAGCACCAATAGATAGTAGTTTCCATTCAATAAGGACTGGTTGTTTGATCTTCTCAGCTAATCTTCTACCTGGTTTGCTTTTCTTGCTTATAATTTACTGACATGCTCAGCACACTCCATAAAAGATTATTTGGCATCTTTGACAGTGTGATTAAGCATGCTGAATACTTTGTTATTTCGTTCTGGAATTGTTTTCAATATTTATACATGGTCGTGGAAGATGTTTTTTTTCAGTTTTGTTATTCTAGTCTGCAATAAAGTGATCACGACTGTAAAGCATTATATCTATATACCAGTGCGTCACCTCTGCTTCGCAGAGGTTCGCACTGGCTCTACTACCAATATGCCTCATTACTTTCCTATAATGATGGCAGTGAAACTCACCGCGCAGTGGCCGAATACCACGAATAGGATGTAAACAACCACTCATTTCGAAAGTCTTTTCACGTGAGATCAGTGATTTCGCGTGGATGAAACTTTTCGCAGGAAGACAAACGCAAATTTGAGTGGGTTCCTGGATTTTTTATGGTTTGGTAGTTGCCATAAGGCCAATAGCCACCGCGAGCAACACTTCTGCGTAAAAATCTTCTCAAATGCGCCAGTAGAACGCTTGCAAATTGACCATTTATGCAACCTATCCATTTTGGCGTCATTTTCGCAAAGTAGTAGATTTTTGCCCATTATTTGGGCTAAAGTCCAAGGCTTGCACATTTACTTGTCAAACACCTCAACGACTTCGCAAAAAGTGCTGACAGGGACCCAATTTTGTACGTCAGAAGCGAAGTGGACCCGTTTGACGCGCAATTTCTGTGAGTTCCACTCAACGAATCCGCTCACGCTTTTGCATGGTGGAGTTTTGTGCTGGTAGCATGTGCTGTGCAAAATTTGGGCCCAGGAGGTTGGCTGGAGCACGCTCTACGAATTTCGTAACAGACACACTCTCACACAGACACACAGACACACAGACACACAAAGTCACGTAAACATCCTTAGCCCATTATTATAAGTTACCAGTGCGTCACCTCTGCTTCGCAGAGGTTCGCACTGGCTCTACTATCTATGTGCCTTACTCATTCTCGTAAAATCGTGGCACTGGAACTCACCGCGCTATGCCGACTACCACGAATAAAATGTAAACAACCACTCATTTAGAAAGTCTTTTCACGTGAGATCGGTGATTTCGCGTGGATGAAACTTTTCGCAGGAAGACAGACGCAAATTTGAATAGGTTTTGGATTTGTCATAACTTGGTAGTCGCCGTAAAGGTAATGATAACCGTGAGCTACATCTCTGTGCGAAAATCTTCTCAAACGCTTAGCTAGAATTTTGGAAACTTGACTATTTACACAACCAATTCGTTTTGGCGCCGTTTTCGTTACGTAGTAAACTTTCGACCACTTTTCTGGCTAAACTCCATCGCTTGCACATTTGCTTACCAAACTAATCCACGACTCTGCCAAAAGTGGTGATACGGACCGAATTTTGCGGTACAGAAGCCAGGTGGACCCGTTCGGCGCGCAATTTCTGAGGGATCCACTCAACGAATCTACTCGTGCTTTTGCATGTTGGACTTTCACGAAGGTAGCATGCGCTATACAATATTTGGGCTTAAAACGCTGGCTGGAACACGCTCCACGAATTTCGTAACAGACACACAAACACACACACAAAGTCGCGTAAACATCCTTAGCCCGTTATTATAAGTCATGACATTTGACAAAACGATGGCTACCCTGTCGATATACCTAGTGAGAAGACAATAGAAAAAAGGCTAACAGCACCTATACTTTAACTCTGCATTTGTGAAAATGAGTTAGGCTTTTTACCACATTTTTTGGCACTATTCTTATAACTACTCAAGTAACCATTCTTCATGTGTTATTAACCAAAAATGCCTGCCAAACGCCTAAAATATCTGACCCCTTTGAGATGCGAATGCGCCCAGCAAAAGGAAAGCGATTATTGACACGTATTGTGCTTAGAACTTTCATCTAAAAAACAAAAGGAATTTTCTCGCATGGTGACTTGTCATAGCTAGACTTACTCACAGCTGATTGACCTCATTGACCAATCTACAATACAGCTTGCGTCCCTAGCAACTCTTTTGTGCACTCTTATCTCTGATGAAGTTACCAAAAACAAACGAATTGGCTATATTTCAGCTTGTGGTACTACAATCTCAAGGGGTTTCAATGCTCCCATTGTCTCAGCTTTACAGGCGCTACCGGTGCACTATTATAACGGCTGCTGTTGCTAGCCGCTAGTTGTTACCGCTATTAGTGCCAAATTTACAATGACTTAAGAGAACTTCACAGATACTGATTGTGACGCTCAACAACACGGCAATAGAGCTAAACCGGTAAAACCTGCAAAGTATGGTCATCCAAGAACAAAATGTCTCAGATAAACCCTGCATGAGTGGAATAATCTACAGTACATTTTCAATCCGTCGTGGGTGCGCTCTCGCGTTGCAACATTCGTTGCGTTTACGGAGGTAAATGCATCCTGTGATGACTAAGCGCATCTCCTCGTTCTTTTCCTTAAATCCTCAAACTTTAATCAAATGAGAGGCACGGTTTCATGATAAGATGCTTTGGCCACACCGGATTGTGAATGACTGTGCGTAGAGCAAATGCACGAAACCTACCGCGTCGACTAATTCGATCGAAATGAGACAATGCATTGCACTCACGACAGTATCACATTTCTAGTTTCAAGCAAGCTTGAAGGCTTCTGCATGATGAAGGCGCAGAAACATTATTAGTTGAGCAAGCTCGAAAGCGCGTATCTTCAACTTTGTGAAACCTGCGCATCATGCGCTCTGCTGCTAATGAAGCCGCGTTCGCCGCTCCCAAAGGTATTGCTCCTTCGTCGTGCAGCACCCTATACAGGGCTTTTCAACATAAGAGTCACAGCCTCCGCTTACGCGGCTCCTAAAACGCGGCCGCCTCGCTCAGGCCGCGTGCGGCGTTTGCGGCGCATCGCCCGGGCATTTTGCCAAGCTACAGTCTACGCGCAGGCTGGTGCATGCGTCGGCGGCATCGATTGAGAACTGGCAAAATGCCCGGACGATGCGCCACGAACGCTGCGCGGACCTAAGCGTGGCGGCCGAGCGGGGCGACTGTGACACTCAGGTTGAAAAGCCCTGTACATGCACCTTGTATGTACATGATGCAAATAGTTCCAAACACACACTGTTGTTCGTCAGCCCTTTCAAAAAAAGTTGATTTTATACGTCCGGCCAAAACGTTCACTAATACTCTCTAGAATATTCAATTACTTTTCAGTGTAGTATGGGCTGTGCAAGAACAACAGACGCAGTGTCCAGCTCAAACATAACTCAATCAAAGTTGAATGTTACTCACAATCCCATTAATTACGATGAATATTGCGCTCGCACTTTGTGCGGAGCCATGCATGTGCTTGTAAACGCTGGTATCTTTCAGACTAACTAATGCGTTGTAAACTCAAGCTGCTTCCGCTTGTCCAAAGGTCTGACACGTGTGGCCAGCGCTTTGGAAGTCCTGCCTTCCTCCTGTGTTAAGCTAGCAATGAAACTCCCCGAGCATCACGAATGAAATGAGGAAAGCTTTTCATTTCAAATGCACTTTCTTAAGTAACCGGTAATTTTACATGAAAGGGTTCTGTCGGATGGAAAAAGAATACGTTTTTAGAATAAATACTAAACTTTTGAGTACTCAATAGTTGCCGTTATGAAAACTGATAACGCGAGCTACGTTTCTGAGCAAAAAACTTTCAATTTCGCTTAGTAGAACCTCTGGAAATCGAAAAAGTGAGCAACTGCCACGTTTTGGCGCCGTTTCCGCTTGTGATTAAACTTTTCGTAGTTTTTGAGTTGCCGGGGAAAGTTCGGATTTATATGCTGAACATATTCATAACTTTACAAAAAGTTTGCGTACTGACCTACTTTTCAGGCTGAAAAGAAAAGTGGATCCGTTTGACGTTTGATTTTCGAAGGATCCGCTGAACGGATCCGCTCATGCTTTTGTATAGTAGACTCTCATGTTGGTAGCAGACGCTGTGCAAAATTTGGGCTCAGGAGGTTGGCTGGAACACGTTCTACGAATTTCGTGACAGACAGACAAACTTACACACAGACACACAAAAACACGTAAACATCCTTAGCCCGTTATTATAAGTTATGATGATAGCATGAGTGATATATTGTTCGTGGCATCAATATGCTGCAGGTGCCGATCTTCTGTTTTTCAGATAGGGTTATTCCCAAGGAATGAACGAAAAGAGTTTTGTGTAAATGGAATGGAATCAGCCGCTTTTTATAGGTCATGTCAAGTTTCATGAATGCCTGAGAGAGAGAGAGATTTCTTTGACTTTCCTTTCTCTCTTTTAGATTCCTAGCTGAATTTAACACAGAGATGAAGAGGTCAACTTTCTTGTACAAGTCGTTTTTGAAATCGTGACGACGGGTTCGACTGCGGTCTTTGCGCCCACAGGAGCGCAGAACACTCATACAAAAAGGCATAACCTCAACGCTTAGCTCAGTCATTTCCAGTGTCTATATATACTTTCGCACGTGAGCAGAAAACCATTCAAGTAAATGAGAATGGGTTAATTATCTAGTTACCATAATGATATTTTTAGCCATGTTTCGCGGGAGCAGCTCCTACGTAAAGGTAAGTTTTTTCTAATCTACTTGTTATTTATTTCTAAACATTTGTAGCCCGATAAACGCTTTCCTTCCTCCATTTTCATGGTGACTAACGTTTTCTTATCAAATCCACGCGCTAGAGATAGTGCCGCTTTGGCAAGTTATAGAAGCGCTGGTTTCCAAAACGTTGTAGTGTACTTGATGTTTACCTCAGAATTTGTAATTTTTATCAAAAAGGGTAGCACTCACGACTCCTGACCCGTTTTCTGCTTTCTAACAATAAGTCATTTGATTGCATGCTCCATCTGTAAGTGTGTGCTCTGCCGCGAATTTTGCGTTGGAGCTCAAAGTTTCGCTGTAGCGCGCTTAACGGTCTACGTGCTTGCGTCTGTAAGTTGCATCAGATGCAAAATTATGAGATTGATTCCGCTGTTTTTTTCCATTCCAGCATAGTCTAGCTGAAGTGTTTGAGCCTCTGATAAGTGGATATTATTACTTTCTTGTTCCGTTCGCAATAGTTTTGCTCGATTGTTCTGCTCCACTTCTCGTATTCGGTTCATGTTTACTGTCGTATAGACCTCGACACGATACCCAATTGACATCGTGCGTCAAAAATGCGTACTTGATGTAAATACAGTGTACACTACTTACCTCAACCTGTAATTAATATTTTTTCAACTTGTACTTCCTCCCCTCTCTCTGGAGTTGGGAAAATGACTGAAGAAAGTATTGGTAAAACTGATTGATTTTAAATATCACTACTCGTACTGAAATCTTAAATCATGGGGGTTATTTATCATGCTGATTCCGGAAATGGTACTCATTTTGCTCGATAGTCGTTTACTTTAGCTGCAGCAGCTGCCCGTTACTGAACAGAATCGCTTAGATTCTGTTTAGTTTGTTTTGCACAAGTTAAAAGATGATACTCATTTCGCATATATATCATCTATTCTATGAATCGGAGACTCGAGACTGCTGTGCACATAATGTCTAAACAATGGTAGAACTTGCTCTTCCGAGTTTCCAGGTCATAAAAATACCTTCAATTTGATAGATTAGTTTGAAAAAAATTTACCAAACATCATACATTACCTCTTAGGCCCCGGGCAGACTTCACCCGATTTGATCGTCGCGACTCGGTCGCGACGAGACAACTGTTACAACATCATTCCATGCCGATCAACTTGCATTCGGTTGTGATACTTTTCCAGCCCGAAATTTTTGAATGTGAAATGAAAATGAATGGAAATCTTGACGATTAGATCGCGACGATTAAGTCGCGTGAAGTCTGACCGGGGCCTTACGCGCTCGAACCTACGATAGCATCGAAAGCCCAATGAATGTCAGAAGTGATAAAAGTAATTGGAATAGGCAATCTGGAAACATCGGTAATCATGTGAGTAATCTGGAGAGACAGCCTCCTTACCTCTGACCTGCACTTCCACTTGGCACATCAAATAACTCCAGACTTAGCTATGGGGAATCGGTGAACGGCTATCAAGCAAAATGAGTACCATTTTTGGAATCAGCATGATAAATAACCCCCATGATATAAGATTTCAGTACGAGTAGTGATATTTAGAATCAATCAGTTTTACCAATACTTTCTTCAGTCATTTTCCCAACTCCAGGGAGATGGGGAGGAAGTACATGTTGAAAAAATATTAATTACAGGTTGAGGTAAGTAGTGTACACTGTATTTACATCAAGTACGCATTTTTGACGCACGATGTCAATTGGGTATCGTGTCGAGGTCTATACAACAGTTTCATGACTGTTTTTATGTGTCCGCGTTCTTGGTAATTACATAAGTTACAGATTGTATCGTCTTTACACTGATAGTGTTGATCATTGGTGATGGCGTGTTGAATGTCAAAGACTCCTGGCAGAAGACCAAATGCTTACCCTAAAGCAAATGTTGTAAGGCTTCTGTCTAAGGCAAGTAATCTTGGTTTTCAGTATATGGCTCGATCTGAATATTTCCATTAATCTTGTCATTTTTTTTTGTTCACTCACATTATCCACGAGAAATCTAGATTGATAGCATAATACTAAAAGTTAAAAATTGAAAACTTCTTGGGTATCCGTCAGACTTCGCTCAAGAGCGCTCAAATTTCTTTAATCTCTTTCCGCAATTCTCTCATCTCTCTTCACACAAGTTTCGCGCTAGCCTAAAAGCACCAGCACGCTGGCGTGCAATGTGTGTGTGACAAGAGACTAATGTGAAGGAAGATAAAAAGCGTTTGAGGGCTTTGGGCTGAGAAAGCCTCACCTCCTTAGGGATGGTTGTGAATTCGATACGATCTAGGATCAGGGTCAGATATCTTGAAGCTTACATAAGTGGATCCTTGCGCACGTAATCTCCCTATTTGAAATATGGAAATCTGTATGAATTGACATACATCCTCAAGTACGTGGGAAGGCTTTGAACCCTAGTGAAGCAAAATCTAATTCGGTATTTCAAAAGGCAGATGTAGCTGAAAGAAGTTGTGGGTCCCATTCATATCTCTGAATGCAATCTGCAAAACCAGTTCAAGTTTCGCGGGTAGTTATACTTCGAAGTTACACATGAGTGTTGATGATCTTCAGATAGGAGTCTCTCCAAAAAAGCTAGTTATGCTCTTTTCGCGTTATTTGACGGTCGATCTTGACACGATTTTGCATTTGTCCTGTTTTCATAGCTCTCCTGTTCTTCTGTATGAGATCTTACCCCTGCCATAGCCTAAGCGTTAAAATTATGTTTGGGGATGTCAAATAGCATGGAAATGTAAGAAAACCAGCAAATATTTGGAACCTATTACTTGTATAACTCACAGAATCCTTTTCCATATAGGTATCCGATGCGGTGTTTGATTGTCATGTCTAATCTGTCAACTTCTTCATAAGTGTGTAATGTAGTTAAAGGCAGCGTCCAGGCAGATATGGACCTATGGGGATTTTGCGTGGAAAGTACTTTTGGGGTTCTAACTGAGGCACTGCTGAAGCCGCAGCGCAGGTAGTACTCTAACGGCTGAGATATTCCCCTCGAAACTGGACCCCGCGATCGTAGTCGCATGGATTCATGGCAGTTTCGCGCCACACACGCTTTGCGCCATGAATCCATGCGAAATACGATCGCGGGGTCCAGTTTCGAGGGGAATATCTCAGCCGTTAGAGCACTACCTGAGCTGCCGATTGGGCAGTGGCCCCGAAATTACTATTCAGGTGAGATCCCCATGTGTCCAGACTTGCTTGGACGCTGCCTTCAAAAAATTGTACTCTTGGGGACTATGCTAAGTTTCAACGAAGTCGTAAACAAAACTGTTGCGAAAATAAGCCCATTTTTTTCATCCTTGTATATTTGCAAATTTTTCGCGTATCTGTTGCCAGCCTCATCTACTGAAGCTCATGTCTAATGTGATCGCATTCATGTGTATGTTCTTCTGACGGACGTTTTATAGAATTGTTGACTACATTCTAGTTTAATGGTCTTAAAAATTTTTAGTAATGGAAATTGGCCCTGACGGGAAACCCTGCAGAGCTTGTGTAAGTGTTGAGGATTTGATGAAACGTGCCAGAGATATTGCAAATAAGAAAGCAAGCCAAGAAGGTAGTTTGTATGAGCAAACACTGTGCGATCATCATAGTCATTTTGAAGGCTCCAACTCCGCACCAGCGGATCCATCTCCTTCTTCTGCCTCTTCTTCCCATGATCTCAAACAATGCCCCATAGATAAAAACGAGCTTGGTGAGTGAGAATACTAACATTTGAGAAAACTGTAAGTAGTCTTGAAGGTCGCTCAACGTGGAATCTTCTTCATACTATGAGCGTGTATTACCCGGAAAAACCCAATGAGGATCAGAAGAAAACAGTATTCCAGTTTCTGGATAGCTTATCCAAGGTGAGCAATTTTTTAACCATAGATGAAACAGCAGTTTTTGATTTATGAACCTGCGAATTGCAATTCATTTCCAACGATTCTATTCGTTAGATTTCCGTAGTTGAACGCTGTTTTATAAGAGCTGTTTGTGAACGACGTGAGATGCTACCTCGTTCAAGCTTTGTCTTTCCTTGCTTTGTTTATACAAAAATACAAAAGTACAGTCTTCTCTTGCATTTGTTTGCATACAAGTTGGTAAATCAGATTTTACAAAAATAAGATATAATATTTGGTGCTCCCTTATCTCTCTTCTCACATCCTTAACTGTTCCCGCTTATGGCGAACAAGGCATCAGATGTCATACAGCGTGTCTTTAGACATTCCCGTGCGACTTCTGTGCGAGAGATTTGAGAAAGGATCTGAAAAAGGATCCTCCAAAATTGGACAGCCGCGAAGAATTTGCTTTATGGATGTGTCAGTTGCATAACAGGGTGAGTAAACCACCTACTATAAGTTGAGTCAGTGGCCATCTGTTGCCAGAGTTTGCTGTCTTTGAAGAGCTGCTTCATTTTGTTTCATATTTCAAACGAATGTTTTCAGGTGAACAAAAAAATCGGGAAAGATGAATTTGATTGCTCGAAAGTTTTTGAAAGGTGGAAAGACGGTTGGAAAGATGGATCATGCGATTATTAGTCAATCTCACGAAGTGCCTCTATTTTGTTACTTGTCATTCGTTATTCTTGTCATATTGTTATAGGAAAGATAAATAGTTCTATCAGAGTTGCTGCAATGCATATTCAGATTGCATACATGACATTGCAGATACATTCCATGTGATAGAGTGATTAAGGCAGAAATTGTATGCCTCATCTTCTCAGGTCACATAGTATTGCCTTACAGTCCGAGTCTTCATAGCTAATGTTGTTTCTTTGAAGGTTTGTGTTCTGAGCTGTAACAACCTTGTTGTTATTGTCGTATTCATCTGAGCATCACTTCTGAATAAAGAAGAGCCAGGGAAGTCATAACGAAAGGCTTTTTGCTACTTGTATCTATTTGCATAGCAATGAACTCGTTTGAGAGGCGATTCGGTACTTCATTTGAAGGGCAGATAGATGCTGACCGGGAAGATCCTTGGTCGAAGCACTTTCCAGAAGAGATGCATATCTTCTTGAAGAACATCGAACACTGAATTCAGTTGTGTCTTCTTTATCTGCGGAGTACCTCTGGACAAGGACTTATGAGAGCTTTTGTAGCGAAAATATAAACGCGTAGTTAGTAGGAAATTGTGGCGCTATTCGGCTATCCGGGCCCCGAAATTTTTTAGTCATGGACTTCGCTCAAACTTGGCCCAGAGGGGGTATCTGACATGCTGATCACGAATATCACCTTTTCTCCGCAGGAAAGCGCCTCTCTGCAGGGTTACGGTAGGTATACGGTAGGGGCACGGATTTGCCCGAAACTTTGTCTAGAGGGGTTATTTGGCATGCTGAACACGAATGTGATGTTTATTTCGTGCGACAGCGCCATCCGATTGAGTTACGGTAGGATTACGGTAAAGGGTCAGAATCACGGATTTGCCCGAAACTTTGCCCAGAGGAGTTGTGTGATATTCGGCCCACTGATGCTGAATATCACATTGGTTTTGTACCGTAGTGTCATTTACTCGGGTGACGGTTGTTACACGGTAACGGGTGTAAAACATAGTTCTGCCTGAAACAGGTGTACGGCGACTCGGACGATCGTGAAGTTTTGCACACACGACCAGTGCCGCGCGCTACACACCCTGCTGCGGTTTTTGCCTAAGCAAAGCACAGGGGAAAGATACATTTGCCAAATTGTGACTCTGACCCCTACTGTAAAGGTACCGTAACCATGTAACCATGCAGGGGGACGTTTTCGTGCTGAGAAAGTGTGACATTTCTAATCAGCATGTCGAATATGTCTCCTCTGTGCGAAGTTACAGCGGATTTTGAGACTTTGATTCTCTACCGTATACCCATCGTAACCCGAGAAAATGACGCTACGGTACAAAACCAATGTGATATTCGGCCCGTTGAGGGCCAAGTTTCGGGCAAATCCGTGATTTTGACCCCCTACCGTATACCTACCGTAACCCTGCAGGGAGGCGCTTTCCTGTGGAGAAAAGGCGATATTCGTGATCAGCATGTCAGATAACCCCCCTGTACCAAGTTTGAGCGAAATCCATCACTAAAAAATTTTGGGGTCCGGATAGCCGAATAGCGCCGAAATTGTTTATAGAAGTTCCTTGCGAGCTCAAATGAAACGCAGGTGATTGTTAGAAATCTTTATGAAGAAAAAATTTCTTGCTTGCAACCTCCGTGCTCGCTATTATTCCATGTGCAATTTGGAAAGGCTACCATGACTAATGAAATCCTCATAACTCGTCATCCAGAGGCGCTCCGCAGATAGGGGAATATATCTGAAATCAGCGTGCGATGTCCTCTAAGAATCTTAGCAACTCAACTGAATAGCCCATTTCGACCAAGAATCCTTCCCTTTGAGAGAGGAATGACAATACTGTCAACCAGGTAAATTCCAAACCGAAGTTGTAAACGAGCAAGTGATTATGTTTTTTGGCGTCATTTTGATGAGTCCGTTCTCTCACAAAGCGAAATTTTGAAAAATTCGAATCATGAATGCAACGAATAGATTCGAAATCAGTTTTGCATTTCTAATGTTGTGCACTCCATAGTTTGCTTCTTTTTATAATGTACAATATATATTACATTATATTATATTATATCACTTAGAATATTTTCTTTTCAAGCTTTTGTGCTCTTTAGGATGTGAACCTGCAACATGTCTTTCAAGAGGCCAACTATCGAGTCTCACAGAATCTCGTCTTCTTCTCAGCCTGAAGTTATAACTCTAGACGACAGTGACAATGAAGATACGCAGGATCTGTTCGATTCGTTGTCCGAGAGCGACCAAGCCGTAGAGGTTATAGATTCGGATGATTTGTTTTCCAGTCCAGAGAGCAAAGCGGGTAGTCCGAAGAAAAGGAAATCTGTTGCGCCTAATCCTGTCAGGAAGCATCTTACGCTATCGCCTTTTCTGAAACGAGAAAGTGAGTTTATCCGTATAACTTTGATAGTTGGCAAATTTTCCGCTCAACAATTAGGTCGAAATTCTGATGGATGGATCTCAAGTAGAAAAGTGAGGCGATCATCATCAGCTAACGTATCGCCGTGGAAACAAGTTCCGCCAACTGTTGCATATCGGAGAAGCACGAAAAGCGTACGTATCAAACATTACTTGCATTTTTCAAACATTTTTTACACAAGCTTTTGTAGGTTAATGGCGATACCATTAGCAGAAAAGATCCGCCTGTCATAACGCTTGATGATGTGTCCTCGAAATCTATAGTGTGCACGAGGAGTCCTGAAAAGGTTTGTCTTATTGTAGATCTGTCTTTTCCTTTTTCTGAAATGCTCCCTTGCTCTTTCGAGTTTTTGTCACATTTAATCTTTTTTACAGCCATTTTTTCAGTCATTATTACATTTTCACCATTTTGGTAATTTATCAAAAGCAATGATGTATATAGACTCCCACATTGCAGCGGAGGCATGGTGATGCATTCTGATGCAGGTGCATTCCGATGTCTGTTACTTTCATACCTCTGTGTCTAAATATTGCCTTTTACGCAAGCGATACGCGTATAGACTGCCACGTCTCCGCTGCTGCCTGAATCTGAAAGTCGACACTATCTGTTTACCATCCTCAAGTCAACTTTTCTCTTTTTGCTTTTCTCAGGTTCTCCATATCGTACTTTTCTGGAAAACATAGTAAATCATATCATAAGTTCTTCATCATTGTAGCCATTATTCTACTTCCAATTTTAGTATATACTTTTTGATTATAAGCGCAGTTTAGAAACCGAAACCTGGATTATGGACTAGGAATCGATTGCAAGAAATAGCGCGCAAATTCGAAGAACGGGATCAGATCTTATCCAAGCTTGTCAGAGAGGACGATGAGTTCCTCGACGTAGTCCATGGTGGTGCTTTTGATCGCGTCCAGGTTGGTTCTAGCTAACAGAAGCGATTTGCTTTTTAGCTACCAGACTAATTTTTCAGAAAAAGGCCAAAGAAAGCCTGAAAGAAGGTGAGATCATACGCAAGCAAGCAGATCGTGCTAAGTTACTTGGAGTGGCACATCCTACTTCGGAAGCTTATTTTGATGCCTTGCAATTAAGCCCTCAAACCAAGCAACAACGAATCGACGAGGTTTGATAGAGTTTTGTTTATTACGAAGAGAACATAAGCTCATTAGAATATCATTTATACCTTACTAAATGAAAGAGGTAGTAGCCGTACGGTAAAAGTCAATTTTCCAGGTAAGCCGCTATCGTGTTGTTGCTCAGAAGATGCCCAGCACTCCAAGGAATTACTGGGAGGTAAGCGACGTGATATTCTTAGCTGATTTTCACGTTGGCTTCTGTAACATTGTAGCTTAGGGGTTGGAATGTCGTTTTCTGCTATGAAAATTGATAATGCATCCAAATGCGTTTTCTTGTGACTGGCATCGTAAAACCTGAAAATGGTTAAAAGATTCGCTGGTTTGTCGTCATGCATGAACACGTCGCTTTGCATAGTCTTAGTCTAAAAAATTTAACGCATGGGAAAATCATTGGTTAGGTGTGAGAAATTACTGTGGTATCACCTGATGATTAAGGTTGGGTTTCCTTCCGAGTCTGAGCAACGCCGTCGTGGTTTGATTAAGGAAGTACATACGAATAGTAAATGCGTGAAAAATCTCTTTCAGTGATTTATTCAATTGTTTTTTGTGAACTATTGGGTTTCTTTCGGCATTTTATCATAATGGTCCCTTTATCTCGGTTTTACTGGTGCTTTCGCATTGCTGACGAAATTTCCTGCATGTTATTTGTGATTGTATGCGATGTGATTTGAAAGTATGTGAATTATGCTAAATGTAAATAGATCTCTTATATGCTTGTGATCATACCTCCCTTTCTGAGCCTTAAATCGTCTCATCTATCCATGCCGCCCTTGTTTGATTTTGTTTCTCACCTCACTTTTGACTTCACTGTTCTTCCTGTGCTGTATTTCTCGGATTCTCTGTGGAATGAAACAATAATTTTGTGCTTGAAAACTCGTAAACTGACACAGCCCTTAAAGGCAGTGGATCGGCAAAATTCAGCAACACAAGATTTTGACGTGCTAGGTTGCTTATCACCCAAGTATGAAAACAGTACAATTCCGGTCGCATAACATGCTTTCACCGCCGAGGAAACTGCTCTCAAACTTACACGCGTACACGCACTCGGACGAGTTGACAACGCTTTTCTCACCGTTGGAGGCTGCCCGCCGCAATGCTATAATCATTGGGTCCCGTAACGATTCGGCGTCTTCAGTCATGCCGCACTCGTCCAATTTCAAAGCAAAGGGCATTGGAAAACGCGCGTTTTTGCCATTTTTAAGCTCTCTCAAGTGGATTTTCGGGATCAGAGCATTGGAAAACCCCAGGTGAGCGAGAATTTCTCTAGGTTAAGATTTGCCGAGCCATTGCCTTTAAAGGCAGCGTACACCCAAAATTTCGCCTTCGATGTTTTTGTCATTCTGGAGCCTTTCCGTGCCCCTGATTACAGTTATGACATTAAAATTCTGCAAAAGTCACAAAAAACCCCGATTTCCAGGAACCCTCACCTCAAGGGCGGACGAGTTTCAAACTGCTCGTCGTCGTCGGCATGCCAGCAGCTGCAACAGCATGACAGCCTGCAGTTGCAACTGCAACTGCTACATATGCTGTCGTGGTTCGTCACCCGAAGAAGGCACACCGCGAAAAGCAACTGCACTGTTGCAACTGCAACTGCAGCTTACGCTGTCGTGGATTCGTCCGAAGGTGGCGGAGTGAAAGAAAAGGGGCGGAGTGAAAGAAAATTGAGGGGGGTTTTCTCCGCTCAGAAGCAACATTGGGAGACCGGACCAACGCAGTTGGTCTTCTTCTGGGCCCAGTATATACACGTTATAGAAAGATCTAGAAAATCAAGTAACTCAAATTATGGGTGTACGCTGCCTTTAAGTAGTGGAGTTGTCGATTTGTAACAAAAAACTGGTTGTTGTTAACTTGGAAGGCCTTTTATCTGGAAATGTTTCTTTACTGGAGGAGTTGTTCTGTATCGCATCCTCCTCTTGAATTTATTTCGCTTTTGGGGAATTGCGCATCGCTGTGCCAACTCATAACCGAAATGTGTAGATGAGTATAGGTCGGGTGTGTGCCCCTCTGAACCGCTCCGTCCTAGCGCTAGTTACTCCGCCCGGGCAACGCTAATTACGTCGCCTTTTATAATATAGCAGAGTTTTCAAATATTTCTGAGCATTCCAAAGCAAGTGAGCACATGACAGTCATAATGAGATATTTGAATTATGAGGACAGAAAGTTGGAAAGCTTGCATGTTTCTAAGGCCATTTCGTGATTTCTTCGCCCTTCCCATTTTCAAAACACCATGAAGTCTGCACGTGTAAGCTGAAGAATTTACCTAAGCCGCCCAAATAAAACATTTTCGAGTTTCATGAGACGGAAATCTTGTTTGATTCTTTTATCATGAGAATGCCTTTGCAGTCCAATTCAGACGTCTCTAATGACAGCATAGCTCTCGCTCACCCAAGCGGCGGCAGCACCGACCAATCAGAGGCGCGCAGTAATTAGGCTGCTAGTGTTAGCGGTTCAGAAGGGCCGTCTCCCGTATAGGTCACTGAAGGCAGGGGCTTTGCAGATCGGCGACTGTAAAGTATCTGTCGCTCTCTATTCCCCTGGGCAAGCTGAGTCCAAAACTGTGCTTTGCAGGCTTCTGGATACTATGAATCGCTTTTCCGGACGTGGAAAGTGCTGTTTGGGCGGGAAGCGAGAGCTTGCCCTCTAGAGAGCCGCTACTGGGCTGTGGAGTTTGGGGATGTGTGGAAACATTCCACCCATGTCGACGGCAACTGGATGTGGCTCCAGCAGCCAATCGTTCTACAAACGGGCCGGCTTCCGCCTTCTGCCCAAACAACAGCTTCCACGTCCAGAAAAGTTATCAATATCTTCAAGATGCAAAGAGTTTGGCTGAACATCAGGAGGTACGCCGCGCGCGGCGGCCCCTCCTTCGCACACGCCGCGCTCACTTGAGGCCTCCAAAACTCTCCCCCATCAGAGATTCCCGGCGGCAAAAACAGGGGGTGAGGATGGGGGCAGATACATGACTTAATGCTATAAGTAAGATTGCGCCAGAAGCGCCGCTGTCGTAAGGGCTGAAGTACATTGCGACATCGTTCGCGAAAAATTCGCGCCGATCGTACCTCCTGACCGTCCCCCGCTGCCTTTAAACAGCCAAAAGGCCCATTTATAGGCTGCTGCATCACGAAGGCGCAATATCTTTGGGCGCGAACCGGCTTTATTAGCCGCACAGCGCATCAGGCGCAAGACTTACAAGGGTGAAAATATGCGCGTGTTGCGTTCGCACCCGCTTAACTATTACTGCTTCTGCGTCTTCGTCATGCAGTAGCCTTTAGGCGAACTGTAAGGAGTGTGATGCATAATGAATCATTTGCAACGTCGCCTACTCGGAAGCCATCTTTGGATTGATACGAGAGAGGATGGAATGTTTAGCATGTACTAATTCATTTGCCAATGCATCAACTTTGAAACTCTGAATAAAAACAAATCCTAAATGGTCAAGAAGAGACTTGACCTGTCGGGGGCTCCGCAAGAGCGCCTACCCTGAGGCCAACTACCGTCTGACACAGAAGACAGATCAAGTCGGTGTCCAAGGATATGATGCAATTCCTCTATTTAAGAACGATCCTGGCGATCGGCGCGTCCACGTCCTCTCGGCTTCGCTCCGATCCGACCGCACTCCTCGTAGCACCAACGACAAGACTGATTTGAGGCGGAGCCGCCTTATATAGCGGCCGAGAAGTGTGCATGCAGCCCGATCGCCTGGTCCCAGCACGAAACAATCAAAACATACTCAGACAATTCTGCGCGCAAGCGGCGCGCACTCACGGCCAGCAGGGCAGGCGGCGGGCCGTGATTTGTGGGCGTGACCTTGCACCGCACAGGCGGCGCGCACTGATTTCAGCTAATAGGCGGCGCGCAATGCATGTTCGCAGGCGGCGCGCAGACACAGTGTGCGTGCAGGCGGCGCGCAATGAACTCTCTGTAGCATCACGTAAGCGAAGAAGGACGCTGCTTTCGCGCGCAAATGCAGAATTTTTTGCAGATAATTGTTTCTCCTCGTTCCTCCTTGTTTTTTTCATACAAAGTATTGTGTTGTTTATTACCTCACTTTTACTCTGCTGTTTCACCTCTTCTTCTGTTTCTAAATTGTTTTGAAATCAAGTATGCGATTTTTTTTGCCTTTTTGTAGCACGTCCTCTCTTATTCAATCCAAATTCACTCTTGTTTCTCAGTCAGTCTTCCATATCTTTTATCCTACCTCTGGTTCTTAATCATATTGACCCCGTGACACAGGGACGCTCATTTTCAATCAATAACGCTTTCTTGCGTCGTTGCGCCTCCTTTTCTTTCCGTTGCCATTTCTTTCTCTTCCTTTTTCACAAGATAAGAGCAATGTTTAATTCAGGTCACAACTGCCTTAGTACAATGCTGGCTATGTGTGGATGCCGAAAAAAAGTCAACCTAAAAAGAGTAAGTCTTGTTTTTTGAAGCCAAAGTAGGTATTTTGCCTAAAAACATTATTGTGTTTCAGCCACCAATCTACAATGACCACAAATACCAAGAATCAAAACAGTTCATGGTCGTGGGACCTCAGCCCTGACTAATTATCTTGAAGAGGTGAAAAATTGCATTTTTTCTATATTTGTCAAAATGTTTGTTGCTTTTTCTCTTCAGTTTGTTAATAGCCTGTATTTCAGCGCCACAGCAAGTGTCTAGCACCGACTGATGGAATCTAGCCCTTGATAGAACAAAGACCATTACGAGAAACTAACGAGGACAAGGCTGATCCAGATTATTCATGTCTTAGATGTATTCATGTCTCATCATTCATCCCCATTTTCATGCTTATATCCATCATATCCCCGTCATCCAATTTTTTATTCCTGTAATTGAATTGGGTATATGAATTCCAGGAGCATTCAATTCTGGCTGATCAAGCATGCCCGCGTTTTGTTCATTGCTATCGCATTTTCATATTTTATTCCTCTAAATCTGTACATATGTTATGCATTCATATCTATGTATTAGGGTGAATGGTAAAAAATGGGACACTTACGAAATAACTGGAGGTTTCTCAAGAAAGAGAAGTGATTAGACTTCCCAATTTTGATAGATGTTAGAATATGTTATTCTTTTTCAGATTATCATAACTTATAATAACGGGCTAAGGATGTTTACGTGTTTTTGTGTGTCTGTGTGTAAGTTTGTCTGTCTGTCACGAAATTCGTAGAACGTGTTCCAGCCAACCTCCTGAGCCCAAATTTTGCACAGCGTCTGCTACCAGCATGAGAGTCTACTATACAAAAGCATGAGCGGATCCGTTCAGCGGATCCTTCGAAAATCAAACGTCAAACGGATCCACTTTTCTTTTCAGCCTGAAAAGTAGGTCAGTACGCAAACTTTTTGTAAAGTTATGAATATGTTCAGCATATAAATCCGAACTTTCCCCGGCAACTCAAAAACTACGAAAAGTTTAATCACAAGCGGAAACGGCGCCAAAACGTGGCAGTTGCTCACTTTTTCGATTTCCAGAGGTTCTACTAAGCGAAATTGAAAGTTTTTTGCTCAGAAACGTAGCTCGCGTTATCAGTTTTCATAACGGCAACTATTGAGTACTCAAAAGTTTAGTATTTATTCTAAAAACGTATTCTTTTTCCATCCGACAGAACCCTTTCATGTAAAATTACCGGTTACTTAAGAAAGTGCATTTGAAATGAAAAGCTTTCCTCATTTCATTCGTGATGCTCGGGGAGTTTCATTGCTAGCTTAACACAGGAGGAAGGCAGGACTTCCAAAGCGCTGGCCACACGTGTCAGACCTTTGGACAAGCGGAAGCAGCTTGAGTTTACAACGCATTAGTTAGTCTGAAAGATACCAGCGTTTACAAGCACATGCATGGCTCCGCACAAAGTGCGAGCGCAATATTCATCGTAATTAATGGGATTGTGAGTAACATTCAACTTTGATTGAGTTATGTTTGAGCTGGACACTGCGTCTGTTGTTCTTGCACAGCCCATACTACACTGAAAAGTAATTGAATATTCTAGAGAGTATTAGTGAACGTTTTGGCCGGACGTATAAAATCAACTTTTTTTGAAAGGGCTGACGAACAACAGTGTGTGTTTGGAACTATTTGCATCATGTACATACAAGGTGCATGTACAGGGCTTTTCAACCTGAGTGTCACAGTCGCCCCGCTCGGCCGCCACGCTTAGGTCCGCGCAGCGTTCGTGGCGCATCGTCCGGGCATTTTGCCAGTTCTCAATCGATGCCGCCGACGCATGCACCAGCCTGCGCGTAGACTGTAGCTTGGCAAAATGCCCGGGCGATGCGCCGCAAACGCCGCACGCGGCCTGAGCGAGGCGGCCGCGTTTTAGGAGCCGCGTAAGCGGAGGCTGTGACTCTTATGTTGAAAAGCCCTGTATAGGGTGCTGCACGACGAAGGAGCAATACCTTTGGGAGCGGCGAACGCGGCTTCATTAGCAGCAGAGCGCATGATGCGCAGGTTTCACAAAGTTGAAGATACGCGCTTTCGAGCTTGCTCAACTAATAATGTTTCTGCGCCTTCATCATGCAGAAGCCTTCAAGCTTGCTTGAAACTAGAAATGTGATACTGTCGTGAGTGCAATGCATTGTCTCATTTCGATCGAATTAGTCGAAGCGGTAGGTTTCGTGCATTTGCTCTACGCACAGTCATTCACAATCCGGTGTGGCCAAAGCATCTTATCATGAAACCGTGCCTCTCATTTGATTAAAGTTTGAGGATTTAAGGAAAAGAACGAGGAGATGCGCTTAGTCATCACAGGATGCATTTACCTCCGTAAACGCAACGAATGTTGCAACGCGAGAGCGCACCCACGACGGATTGAAAATGTACTGTAGATTATTCCACTCATGCAGGGTTTATCTGAGACATTTTGTTCTTGGATGACCATACTTTGCAGGTTTTACCGGTTTAGCTCTATTGCCGTGTTGTTGAGCGTCACAATCAGTATCTGTGAAGTTCTCTTAAGTCATTGTAAATTTGGCACTAATAGCGGTAACAACTAGCGGCTAGCAACAGCAGCCGTTATAATAGTGCACCGGTAGCGCCTGTAAAGCTGAGACAATGGGAGCATTGAAACCCCTTGAGATTGTAGTACCACAAGCTGAAATATAGCCAATTCGTTTGTTTTTGGTAACTTCATCAGAGATAAGAGTGCACAAAAGAGTTGCTAGGGACGCAAGCTGTATTGTAGATTGGTCAATGAGGTCAATCAGCTGTGAGTAAGTCTAGCTATGACAAGTCACCATGCGAGAAAATTCCTTTTGTTTTTTAGATGAAAGTTCTAAGCACAATACGTGTCAATAATCGCTTTCCTTTTGCTGGGCGCATTCGCATCTCAAAGGGGTCAGATATTTTAGGCGTTTGGCAGGCATTTTTGGTTAATAACACATGAAGAATGGTTACTTGAGTAGTTATAAGAATAGTGCCAAAAAATGTGGTAAAAAGCCTAACTCATTTTCACAAATGCAGAGTTAAAGTATAGGTGCTGTTAGCCTTTTTTCTATTGTCTTCTCACTAGGTATATCGACAGGGTAGCCATCGTTTTGTCAAATGTCATGACTTATAATAACGGGCTAAGGATGTTTACGTGACTTTGTGTGTGTGTTTGTGTGTCTGTTACGAAATTCGTGGAGCGTGTTCCAGCCAGCGTTTTAAGCCCAAATTTTGTATAGCGCATGCTACCTTCGTGAAAGTCCAACATGCAAAAGCACGAGTAGATTCGTTGAGTGGATCCCTCAGAAATTGCGCGCCGAACGGGTCCACCTGGCTTCTGTACCGCAAAATTCGGTCCGTATCACCACTTTTGGCAGAGTCGTGGATTAGTTTGGTAAGCAAATGTGCAAGCGATGGAGTTTAGCCAGAAAAGTGGTCGAAAGTTTACTACGTAACGAAAACGGCGCCAAAACGAATTGGTTGTGTAAATAGTCAAGTTTCCAAAATTCTAGCTAAGCGTTTGAGAAGATTTTCGCACAGAGATGTAGCTCACGGTTATCATTACCTTTACGGCGACTACCAAGTTATGACAAATCCAAAACCTATTCAAATTTGCGTCTGTCTTCCTGCGAAAAGTTTCATCCACGCGAAATCACCGATCTCACGTGAAAAGACTTTCTAAATGAGTGGTTGTTTACATTTTATTCGTGGTAGTCGGCATAGCGCGGTGAGTTCCAGTGCCACGATTTTACGAGAATGAGTAAGGCACATAGATAGTAGAGCCAGTGCGAACCTCTGCGAAGCAGAGGTGACGCACTGGTTTCTATATAAGGTCATTTACATATTTAATAATTTTTACACTTGCTGAAATGCAAAGTTAATCACTTCGACAAATTATGAACTTTGAGCAGTATCTGTGCAGTGAAACATGTGAGACCACCCAAAGTACCACTGCTGGAGTGGGTGGTGGGACAGTCACCAAATCCACGACGGCTTGGTGGCCTCAACTTCAAAGCCAGGGGATATGGCCATTAGCAGCTTCGAGAACGAAGATACGCGTTATTCAATTCCTTCCAAATGAACGCGTGTTTTCTAGGTATCATCTGAAAGAGCTTTTTACGCTCTGTCCACCCATGTGCAGCTTGCCTCAGATTTTATCTATTTTCGGAAAATATAGGGCAAAACATAATTTTTTTGTTTTTTATTGCGCCAAAATTAGCTATTTTTCAGGTTTTTTCGCTTTTTTTCCTAAAATTGAAGAGAAATCTTAGGCATTTAACATATCGTTTGAAAGTGCATGAAAAGCTCTTTCGAATGGTATGTCATTTGCTTTACGACTTTACGGTATAGCAGCGCAAGATTGAGAACTGTTCAAAAAACCCTCTCTGAGTTCTTCACGGCGCCACGCATACAGTTATGAGAGAGGAGCGGTAACGCGTGGCCAGAATAATAGGCGAAGGTCGGTTATGTAAGCGACGTTTGAGTTGCAGCCTGCTTATTATTGGTGAGGACAAAAAATCTCAAAACGTAATAAAAATCAAGCTGTCCCATTTTTTACCGTTCACCCTAATATACTGTTCAGTTTATTTATCAAAGTACTTAGTGATTTTACTGGCAGTTATTTCAAGTTATCTCGTCATACTGTTGCATTAGTTACTATCAACTTCATTGTATTCATTACTTCATACACACGTCTTGTTGATATCACATTTGAATGTAAATACCTTGCTATTGTACTTTAAGTTTGTGAATTTTGTAAGTCCTACCTAAGCTAACAGTATTGAATGCCAGCTGTCAAAGACAGCCTTATCCTGTAAATACTGTATTTTGTTGCAATTTGTGTTGTCAAGTCCAAGAGGTGCACTCTCTTGACTTGAATCCTTCACCCTGATTGTCTTACTTTATATGAACATGACATTATGACTAGAATCTTTATTATATATTTATAAGTAGAATGAGAGGGGAAGGGAAACCGCCGGTCACCCGGTTAGGCACAGCTCATCTGGAGTTGCTGGGCACCGCCCAGTTGGCGTGGCTACTGTCGGGCCATCTAATTAGTCTGCGTCTCGACATGTCCATTCCATAGTAAAGCTCGTCCCGAGCTTTCATCATTTTTTGTC